TCATATATATTTGAAATTTATAGAACATTTCAAACATGCACCATAGCAGAAAGACTTGTTAAAATGGACCGTCGCGTCCTCAACGACCTGGCCTCAACAGCGGACACACAGCATGTACTGATTGATCTGTGTCTCCGCCCATTCTCCAAATCCCAAGCGTCAAATTAAAAACTTCAGTATGTATCACTAAAGATTAAGGACCATTTTTAAAATGACATAACCACCATATCACAATATTATTATTATTATTATTATTATTATTATTACACTTAAACATTAACATGTTCTTTATATATTCAAATGTCCATTCAGTTGTTTAAATTTCTGTGAACCCCTTATTAGTTTTTAGAATAGCTGGCTTATTTGAATCAGGATCCAAACAAAGTCCACACATTCACGTTGAAGCCCGACCTTCCAAATGCTCTGGCTCATGGTGTTTGACAGTGGCTGTTTCCTTTGGCAAGAGAAAAAAAGGAGATGAACATTCATTTAGTGAACTTAGGCTGTGGTTAACCAATCTAAATTATGGAAACAAGTCGATTTTTCACATGGAATTTTTCAGACAGTTGACCTTGCTCTTTACATTTTGCTTTCGTAGTCTTAGAGTCAGGAATCAATCACCCTCTCGCTTCCCCTTCATCCAGATTCCTGCTGTGTTCTGTGCTGTGGCAGGTGTCTGTGAACAGTATTAAGCATCCTAATTAACTGGTCCCTGTCTTCTGGAATATTACAAACCTGTGGGGAAGCCAATAAGAAAAATTATTATGAGAAAGTAAATGATTTAAATGAAGAGTTCAGAAAGCTAACAAATCTTCATTCATCAAACTCTATTGGATACTTACCATATACGAGACATTTTACTAGGTTCGAGGTGCACAGTGGTGAAACTAAGTACCCACCCTCCTGGGACTTACAGGTGTGCCAGGTACTTAAAATGGGAAAATATGTGGCTCCTGCTGTCAGTGAATTCATGATCTTAATCATAAGGTAGGTGAACAAATAAGTCTAACACAAAGTCAAGTTTTTCACCTAAAAGTTATTCAGACAGGACTTTGTACGAGAGTCTTTACAACTTAGATGGAAATGCAACTGACATGTTTGGAAAATTGACTCAAAGCACCTGTGGTGATGAGGAAGACATTGATGTTAAAGATGTATGTGAAGATTTTGATTAAAGTTATGCATAAAATGTAGCAAGTAACCTTTCTAAGTTAATTTATTATTTTACATATCTGTAATCTTTCAGTTCTGTCTTCATACTATTTCAGTACGTATAACTAAAAGAAAGGTAAGGATTATTTTTTTAAAAATATGTTATTTTTATTTATTGTTAGAGAGAGAGAGTAAAGGAGGGAAAAAGAGGGAGAAAGAGAGAGAAACATCGATGTACGAGAGGCAGTTGATTAAAGTTTCTTAAGAAACTTAGATTGGTTGTCTCTTGCACATCCCCAACCTGGGGCCTGGCCTGCAACCTAGTCATGTGCCCTAACCAGGAATCGAACTGGTGACTTGTAGGTTTGCAGGAGGACACCTAACCCACTGCACCACACCAGTTAGGGCAAAGATAAGGATTCTTAAAAAAATAAGCACGGTTTAACCTAAAGAGAAAAATAATAATTTCTTTAATATCCTGAGAGATCTAGTTAATATTCAAATTTCTTTTTTCCTTTTTTCAAATGACATTTGTCTCAAATGTTGTAACTACTAAAAAGTTATTTAAAAAATAACTAAAATTTTTATTTCAGTTAATTTGAATCAAGACTCAAAGTCCAAACATGGTGGTTGGTTCATTGTTTCTTTTAACCTATCGGTTTTAGCCTTCCTGTCCTCTGTCTCTCCCTTTCTCGTCTTATAATTATTTGTTTTTAAAAAGGGGGTGGGGAAAATTTGTTCTGTATAGTTTTCCACAGTCTGGATTTTGCTGACTGTATTCCTACGGTGTTTTTCTGTGGAGCTCTGATTCATTGTATTTTTAGTAAATTGCTATTTGGATTTAGAGCTTTGATCAGACCCAGGGATGCTTTATTTGGCACAATTGACTCATGGGTGGTGATAAGGCCTCCTGTTAGGGGCCATATAATGTCTGGTTGTCTCTCTCTGTGATGTTAGCGGCTGTTGGAGATAAGTGCAATCCATTTGGACTGCAAAATGGCAATGTTCTCATTGCTATTTGTTCTTTTTTATAATAAGAAAGTTCTCTCATCTACTTTTTGGTACAATTTATATAGGAAAACAGATTAATTTTTACTAGTTTTCAAAGCAATGAATTAGTTTATTAGCATTATCTTCCAATATTGACCAATTATTTAATTTTTAAAGTGACATTGTTGAACACATAGATTTTCAGTATATTTGATATATTCAGTCTGTTGCAGTTATTATCCTTATTGATGCGCAAACTGTCTTATTTTTGGCAAGAGACCCCTTTAAGTTGGCTACTGAGTCCTTTTGACACAACCCTAGTTGAGTATCTTTTAGTAGAAAATGGTATTTAAGAAACCACAATCTAGGTGCTAATGATACTCATTGCTACCAGGTGACCATTTTTTCTAGAGCTTTTCAGTGGACAGGGCTAGATAATATAAATTAAAAAAAATGCATCATATATTCTTGTCCATATTTCCAACTCAAATTCAAGACTGCATTGGTTTTTACTTCTGTCTTACAACTGTGTCTCCTTTCACCCCTGCTGAGAATCCTGGTTCTCAGTCACACTGAGAGTGACAGAAAAAGTTCACGTAATTTTTCACTTGTTTATTCTCATGATACACAACAGTCTCAAAACAATAACACCAACACTACAACCAACCATGTGGTAACTAGAAAGCAGTTTAAGATCTTTTACAATTCTTTTTGTCATTAGGGTATATGCCACTAAGGATATTCAATTTATTATGTTTTAAAGTTACTTTGAATAATTTCTTTTGGAATAGTTATGCCATCAATTTGGCAGTGGTTTTCATTTTTTTAATTTCTGGGAATTGCTTTTTAAATTTTAAATTTTGTTTTAAAATTATGTAATATATTTGTAAAGTAAGATACAGTCAAAGACGTTCAGTTTCTATCCTTGTTTCTTTTCCTCTGTACCCTCTCTAGGTGACTATTTTAAAACGTCTTTTATGGCTTATTCTTCCTTTATGTTTTTAAGTATAAGCAGATGCTGATGGTCCAAAACCCTTTCTTAGACAAAAATTATACAGTTTTCTCCACCTTAGTTTTTAAACTTAATACTACATCTTGGAGATTATTCCATAGTAGTAATAATATATACTTTTAAACATTTCTAGAAAACTGAATAAATATTATAAACCAACGTTTGAGTATTTCATCTACTTCCCTAAAAGTTTATTCAAATTGTCCTCTAAAATATTTTTTGAATCTTTAGTTTAGAAAAATCAATTGTCTTATATTCAGGGTTGCCTTATTTGGGGGCATAGATGATGACTACAAAATTGTAAAATTAGAACAGTAAACTGGAAACTTGAGCAGACTCTGGAAGGACTGGTGAGGATGTGGTGTGCTGGAGAGTTGGGGAGGGGGCGTGTTAGATGCCCACACGGCGTGAAAGAAGGTGTGAGGCGGGGAATGTGCACTGTGCCAATGGGACCAGTAAGCCTGGTGGGAGCTGCAGGTTGGGTCAGGGAGATGGACTAGCGGGGAAATCAGGTAAGATATTTTTTTTGCAATAATTCAGATATAGTGTGCCTTGCTAAGGGAGGTGCCATTATGTTCATTCTTCTAAACAAAGATTTATTGAGCACTTACTATGTGAAAATCTGTGCAGAGTTCTGGGAACACAGTGGAAACAGTGGTGAGGAAGACAGATAAGGTCCTTCCCTTAGGGAGCAGAGACATTTCATTACTGAGGAGAAGCACACGGTGCTATGAGGGCATAAAATGGGGTGGGGGCATACCTTAGTTTAGAAGAGAGGTAGTCAGGGAAGGCTTCCAAGGAAGTACATTTAGGCTGAGACCTATGAGATGATGGGTAAGTGTTAGTTGCCGGTGGGAGAGGTGGGGGTAGTAGGCAGAGTGTCATAGCTCTAGGCAGAAGGAGCGGCACTCAGGGAAGAAAGTGAGTATGCTTCCAGAACTGAAAAAAAAATGTTTAGTGTGACTCAAAGTATTGGAGAGTATAGGATAGAGTGGATGTGAGATGAGAGTGAATTCAAGGGTAATTACAAAGGAGGTCTTGGTGAGAAAAGAGAACTCTTTCCCCGAAAGCATGTAATAGGCACTATATACATGGAATGGATGAATAAATACATTTGAAAAGTGGTCTAAGGAGTGGTGATGCCATAGATAGGAATAAGTGAATGAGCACAGACTGCTAGTTTCGAAAGGAAGATTAGTTTGGTTTTAGACACACGAGTCTTGAGTTGTGGCATTCCAGTGGTTTGTCAAATACTGAGCTACGCCATTTCAGGCTGCTGTTGAAATTATAATATTTAAATGAGGGAAACAGAAGTAGACCGCTTCCCCTTGGGAATTATATTTAGAAGAAGATGAGCCTTAGGATGAGACAGAGAAGCTTTCGTCAGGAAGCAGGCTGGAGTATTTCAAGGACAGAGTGTTAAACAGGCTCAAATGCTGCGGAGGTCAAGGAGACCAGTTTCCACCAGATGACACAATGTGGTTGACAGCCCTTACAAAACGCCAACACGTGACATGGACGGGTAGAGGAGCGTGGAGGCGAAAGGCATGAGCTCTGCAGTCATAAGACTTGAGCTCCGTCCTTGCTCTGCCTTTTACCCCATTGGTGCCCTTGGGCAGGAAGTTTAATGTTCTCTGAGTCTCAGGCTGCTCCTTTACAAAATGTGAAAGAGAATGGCTGCCATGTTTGCATGTCAAATTTACTGTGAGGTTCACGTTTTGAAAAATGTGTGAACCATCATGGCTTTCTTCCAAGGGTTACACAAAGAGCCTGGCATGTGGTGCTTAACTAACCTTTTGAATGAATGTGTGGGTATTACTGTGACTACTTGTTTATATTTTATCAGAGACCAGATGAAGAAGCTGTGGTGGATCAGGGTGGGACCAGTACAATTCTCAACATTCACTATGAGAAAGAAGAGTTGGAAGGTAAGAACCCCTGTTCTGGGTAATGGGGGAGATTAGCGAGAGGCAACCTGGCAGGGGAAAAATCGCTGTGTCATTAGTAGACCTGGGTTTGAACCCTAACTGTCACTGCTGTAGGGCCTTGAGGGGAAAGCACTTAATTTCCTTCGGCCTCAATTTCTTTGTTAAATAAAAGCAGGGATAATAATGCCTGTCTCACTATTGCATCTACAGGCAGCCTGTGAGACAGCGCTCTGAGAACGTTAAGTCCAGTGTGAATGTCAGTACGTGGCCCATTCCATGAGAGTGTGAGGTGCTCGGGTCAGCTTATTGGTTCTTGAGAGCTTCTTAGAAATAAAAAATATATACAAAATTTTAAAAGAAAAAATACAAATAATTTTTAAAACTCAGTTTGGCTATAAAACCCTGTTTTTATCCCATTTTTAATGTTTGCTCTTCCCTTCTAACTAAACCCATTTCTGGCTGGTGTTTTCATGTAAACAAGGAAAAAGAAAATACATACACACCTATAACATATTCTTTAAGAGTTCACAGCACAGAGTTACATAAAAATCCAACGGAGGGGGACAGGACGAGGCATTTCTATTGACTGCTGTTTGCGGTTTCCCTTGTTAAGGTTTTTCTCCCTTTCTCTCCCGTCTCACCCCTCGCTCCCCCTGGGAGCACTGTGTGGTGTCCTTCCGCTTTCTTTTTTCCCCGTGGGGCCTCGTTTCCTGGTAAGCGGTGATGCCCGGTTTTATTAGAGAAAGGCTCCTGTCTAGTATGGCTTTAACAAGAGCCACATTTGGCTCAAAGGCCTTTGTGAACTCCCTGCAGCCTCCCCTGCAATGTTGAATGCTATGATGCAGCAACTTTCTAATGACTCTGGGACAGCATGTGAAAAACTCTTTCTGTACTGCTTGTTCCCATGATGGGTTTTTTTTCCCCATCAAAGTTGTACAATCTCTAGAGAAAACTTGTCCTTTGGATGGGGAGAGTGAAAGCTGTAGAGGCTGACTCAGCCTCTGGATGTGTTACCACGAGAACTTATGTGGGTGGCTCTGTGGAGGTCAGTGGAGTTTGGATATATCAAGGTCAGGTTTTCCAAGTTATTTTAACCAGATGGAGGAGCCAAGGTGGGTTTCAGCAGGTGGGAGAAGGAAAGGGTGTGGGGGGGGTGGGAGGCTAACATTTGTTGAATGACCCTTGTTAGGCATTTGGGTAGGGTCTTAGTACAAGTTTTTTTAATCTTCTCAACAACTAAGGCAGGTAGATTTTATCCCCCTTTTTAGGGGAAACTGCTCACGGTCATCTAGGACAGCAGTTTTCAATCTTTTTCATCTCATGACACACATAAACTAATTACTAAAATTCTGTGGCACAGCACCCTGGCCTGGTGGCTTAGTCGGTTGGAGTGTTGTCCTGTACACCAAAGGGTTACAGGTTCGATCCCTGGTCAGGGCATGTACCTAAGTGACAGGTTTGATCCCATCTGGTGCCCATGTGGGAGGCAACCAGTCGATGTTTCTCTCTCACATTGACCTCTCTCTCTCAAATCAATTAAAAAAATTAAAATTTTGCAGCACACTGAAAAGCATATTTTTTTGCCAATCTGACAAAAGGTAGGTGTAATTTTGATTCATTCACACCAAACAACTATTGTGTTGGCTGTCACCTTTTTTTTACTTAACAATCTAAGGGAAAAGAGGTCAGTGCCCCTGACTAAATCATCAGGTATTGCATGTTTTTTTTCAAGTCTTTGCTGTATTTTTTCTTTTATTTTTTAAAAATTACTTTATTGTTGTTCAATTATAGTTGTCTGCATTCCCTCCCCCCTCGCCCCAGCCAAACCCACCTCCCTCCCTTGCTCCCACCCGCCCCCTTGGTTTTGTCCAGGTGTCCTTTCCTGTAGTTCCTGAAAACCCTTCTCTCCACTGTCCCCTCCCCCCTCCCCTCTGGCTATTGTCAGATTGTTCTTAATTTCAATGTCTCTGGTTATATTTTGTTTGCTTTTTTCTTTTGTTGATTATGTTCCAGTTAAAGGTGAGATCATATGGTATTTGTCCCTCACCGCCTGGCTTATTTCACTTAGCGTAATGCTCTCCAGCTCCATCCATGCTGTTGCAAAGGGTAGGAGCTCCTTCTTTCTTTCTGCTGCATGGAATTTCATTGTGTAAATGAACCACAGTTTTTTGATTCATTCATTTACTGAAGGGCACCTAGGTTGCTTCCAGCACTTGGCTATTTAAATTGTGCTGCTATGAACATTGGGGTGCATAGGTTCTTTTTGAATTAGTGTTTCAGGATTCTTAGGGTATAATCCCAGCAGTGGAATTGCTGGATGAAAAGGCAGTTCCATTTTTAGTTTTTTGAGGAAATCCCATACTGTTTTCCACAGTGGTTTCACCAGTCCGCATTCCCACCAACAGTGCACTAGGGTTCCCTTTTCTCCACAACCTCTCCAATACTTGTTTGTTGATTTGTTTATGCTGGCCCTTCTCACTGGTGTGAAGAGGTATGTCACTGTGGTTTTAATTTGCATCTCTCTGACGGCTAGTGAACCTGAGCATCTTTTCCTGTGTCTCTGGGCCCTCTGGATGTCCTCCTCGGAGAAGTGTCTGTTCGAGTCTGTCTTTTGTCCATTTTTTAATTGAGTTTTTTGTTTTTCATGGAGTGGAGTCTTGTGAGTTCATATATTTTGGAGATCAAACCCTTGTCTGAGGAGTCATTGGAAAATATGTTTTCCCTTCTAGTTGCTTCTCTTTTCATTTCAGTGCTCTTTTCTTTAGCCATGCAGAAGCTTTTTAATTTGATGAAGTCCCATTTGTTTATTCTTTCCTTTATGTCTGTTGCTTTAGGGGACATGTCAGTGAAGATGTTGCTGTGTGGAATATCTGAGATTTTCCTGCCAATGTTTTTCTCTAGGACTTTTATGGTGTCATGACTTACGTTTAATTCTTTTATCCACCTTGAATTTATTTTTGTGTATGGTGTAAGTTGGTGATCAAGTTTAATCTTTTTGCATGTATCTGTCTGGGTAGTGTATGTTTTAAAAATTCTTATGGCACACTGGTTGAAAATCACCGATCCAGCCTAATGGTAGGGGAGACTCAGATGAAAGTCTGCTTTTTCTACTCTGCCACACTGCCAGCAAGGGAGGACAGTATCCAGCATTAATCACTCAACCTCAACACCTTGCTCCATTATGTAAACACGTTAATAGATTACCCGCCCTCCTTCTGCCCTGTTGCATCTACCCTCTTACTGCTCCATGGGGGTTATGTTGCTCTCAGTTTAGTTGTTTGGGCCCCTATACCTTTGTTCTCAGCAAGGAGGTAACCATTTATAAACACTGATTTCTACTTGGCAGTAGAGTGATAAAGTTGGGCAGACTCGCTTGAATCCCAAGGACTCTGTTTCATGCACAGAGATGGGCTGAGTTATTGGCAGTAGGAGCAGCTTCTCCTTGATGACATCATCTATTCCTTATGCATTCTCCATTTTGCCATAAAGGATAGCTGTCTATTATTATGTCATTAATAAAGAGCAGTGTGCTGGGAAATGGTACTTTACACATAGACCTTTTTGAAAACTAGAATCTAATTTATGTTAACACTATTTTAAAAAAGCACTTCAGGCAAATGGAGGACAAATGGTGCCTGCTTCTCAGGCCTCCTAATGTGGTTCTGGAGCAGCTCTGGAGAGAAGAGGGGTCTGTGGTAGGGCTGGCCATGCCGGGGGTCCTGCCCTGACTCACTCTGAGGGCAGCGTTAGCACTCCATGAGGCTGCACCCAGGGTGGCATCATCTCTTAAAGGTGTGGGATAAAATCAGTCTCACTTTGATGGGAGACAAGTGAATTATATTCTGATTTGATATGTATGCCGTGATTCAAGGTTTTGTGGTTGTAGATAAATCCCTGACCTTCCTCCCCCTTTATTTCAAACTGTCTACCCCACATGACAAACCATTTCCCCACCCACTTTCAGAACTAGACTTCTGTAAACATGGGTCTTTTATATAAGTTGATTCCATCAGTAGGAGATGGCACATTAAAGCATGATGTTCCTTTCTTCTTTTTTAACATACAGGAAGAGTCAAAAGCAAACATGAGAACTGATTTTCAAAGATAAACCCATGAAGAGCGATCGTGCATGCTGTGCTCTAGTGGCTCTCCTAGTCCCAGAGGGACACAGGCAGTGGCTTTAGAGTAATGGATTTTTCCATTTTTTCTGGCAGATCATTATTCCTGATTAACTACTAGATATATGAATCCTACAGTACGTTTAGTGCCTTAGAATACATTTTAAACAAATGTGTAAGAGTCATTTGGTCCTATTTATAAGTTTAAAAGAAAAAAGGGCATACATCTGCTCCACATGTTAGAGACCCCCTGTGGTTATTGGCTTTGAGTCAACCTGCAGCCCAGGGGAGTGGAGCACCTTTTGCGTGTGCTAATGAGTTCTGTCTGCAGTGTCAGTAAACAGCGAGCATCGAATGGTAAATCCAGTCTCCATCTGCAGGGTGGGTTCCCCCCTGTGATTTCTGTCCTGCTCCACAATATCCAGTCCCAGTTCACTGATTGTTCTCTGCCTTTGTATACATACTTATTTCTTCAAAATACACTGTTACATCTTCCCCATAAGTTTTACTAAATGAATACTTGTATTTGAATTCAGGTAGCCCCCCAAAGAATAGATTTGACAATGACTGGAAAAAAGGATGGAGAATTAGATGAGAAGCAGGTGGAATCTGAGTGAGTTGACAGGTAGAAGAGGGAGATGAAGATGGGTGGGCAGGAGAGCAGCTGAATGCCCAGGGGAGTGACCACATGATTAGTGTAGTGAAGTTGCCGTGCTGCCAGAAACCAGTTAGACGGACTGGATTTGATTGTTGCTCTAGCCATTGCCTAGAGTCATTTTTTCTGCTGATTTCACTCAGGAAATCCAAGTTTCTGCTTCAGAGTCCCAACCTAGAAACGTAGGCTGAATTTTTTGATAGCTACTTAACTCTGACCTCTGCTGGCACTTTATGCTGATCTTGCTTATCTCACCAGTGTTTTCAAAGGACAAGCACTGTGGTTGGCTAATATTTGTGAGAATTGATTAGACCAAAAAACTTCTTAGAGAAGGGAAAGTCTTCTTTCTCTAAGATTTAAGCTTTACCTTCCTACAGATCTATCAAAGGCATCTCTCTGTAAGATGTTTTCCCCATTGTGCTGGAGACCTGCCAAGTGGAAATTTAAATACCAAGCAAAAGCATGCATTATTTACTCAATAGGCATTTACTGAGGCCCTTTTATAATCTCTTTTCACAGCAGTAACCACCATAACTTCTTCAAAGAAGGCCTTAGCCCAAGCCTTTCCTAGGTCTTGAACATTGGAACCTGGACTAGCAATCATCTGGACAAGACCTGAGAAGTCATTTAGTCCAGCCTCCTTGTTTTACTTTAATAGTGTGGATGAAATTTAATTAAAATTAAATGATACTAGCAGTGTACCAGCATGAGCCCAGTGGAGGTATTTGGAGTGTGCTGAAGGAAAAGGGAGGCCTTAGCTGGCCAGTAACCTTCCAGGGGATTTGCTGGGAAAGGGAAGCACGTGGCTGGGATGGCTCCATTGAAGGACTGACATTACCCTTCAGACTGTTCTTCACCTAAGCCCAGCTTTACCTGGACACATCTGATTTGACATCACTGAGGTCACTATTTAAGGGGGTGGTTGAAGCGATTCTCCAGGATCTGGTTAAGCTTTTCATGGCCCACGTGTTCTTCATGATCGCCCCTGTCTGTCTCTCTAACCTTTCCCCCTCTTTCACTTTGCTCTGGCCATACTGGCTGTCCCTTTGCCTTGGAACCAGCACCACACATTGCTGTTGTAGAGCCTATGCACTTGATCTTCTCTCTTCCTGGAATTTTCTTCTCCCAGGTCTTCTCATGGCCCCTCCTTCTCATCACTGGGATGTCTCTTCTAATCATCTCAGCTCCAGTCTCCCTTCTCCTTCCTATCCCTACCACAGACTCTCTAGCACTTTACCATATTTTATTCATAATAATGATCAATAGTTAAATAGTATGTTTTTGTTTTTAAGATGTCTGCCTTCCCCAACTAGAGTATGTGTCTCGAGGACTGGGATTTTGCGCTGTTCACTACTGTCTCCCCAGCCCTTTGGATGGGACCTGGCATGATAGGTAACTGCAGCCTGGCCTGACGTCAGCGGTGTAACACAGGAACCTAACTGAATACTATCATCGAACGTTGTTAGTTAATGGGTGCTATTTTATTAAGATGGTATTCAATTTAGTCATTTTTGTACTTTATAGTGTTCACTGATAACGTCAGAGGTCTGAAATCCTGCATCTTAGCAAATTCCCTCTTCTGACTCGATAGTTCTGCTCCAGTAAAGTTGCAAGACAACTACGTTGTGTCTAGAAACCTGCCCGTCAAACTGTCCTGAGATGTGCACAGGCCAACAGGACTAGCCCGAGACAGGAAGTGGATAAGAGGTGTGATTCTACCAGATACCAAATACTTTATCCTTCTGACTGCTGCTCAGCACTCTGACTAATCTCTGATCATCTTCCCATCTAATCCTCACTGTTTCCTTTTTATTTTGCTTTATCACTTTGAATAATGAGGGATAGGGGAGGACAAAGAAAATGAATGAGAAATAGAGAAAGGGGTGTTAAAGTGCTCGCTTCAACAGCATGTATACTAAAATTGGAATGATACAGAGATTAGCATGGCCCCTGTGCAAGGATGACACGCAGATTTGTGAAGGGGTGTTAAAGCAGCACCCCAGGGCACTTTAACCCCGCTGGAAAGTGGAGAGCACTGTTGAGGAACACCCAAAGGAGAAGTTGAGCACAGTCTTAGGAAAACCCATTGCTGGGGAGAGAAGAACATGAAGAGCTGGTAACTCTTTCCATAGAGTCTAGGGAGTCTTCCTGTGTTAAGCTGTCAGTGCTCAGTTGGCTAGGGTTTTCTCAGTCCTCTCATGCCCTGGTGAACATTTCATCTACCCCAAACACGCTCACTTGGGTTACTCATTCCTTTTGTGGCTCCCTTCAAATTGGAGGCCTTCTTAGGTCATATTTCATTCTCCTGAGGAGGTCCTAGGGGTTTATATTCCTAGTGGAGGCACTTGGGATATAGTCCATTTTCTGGATAAGCTCAGGGATGACCATGTACAAGACACTGTGCTTTGCTGTGTGAGGGATTCCACGAGGAAGGCGGTCGGACCTGGGACCTTGAGGAGCTTGCAAATGAATAGTGAGAGATAACTTTGATGAGGCTTAACTTTAATGGAAGGTGTAAAATTAGCGCATAAGAGAATGCTAGCTAAGGACTCTGGGGATTTAGAGGAAGGAGGTGGCACATCTGATCAGGGAGATTAGAAGCAATACCAAGAAGGAAGGCACGTTGCAATGAACTTTTTGAAGGAGTGAGCCAAGTTGGTGTCCAGAAAGCATCGGCACATTTGTGGAACAGCAGTTTGGTTGAGGTAGAAGAAGAATGTGAGAGATGGTGGGTGCCGCAGTCGAGGGAATGAGGAGGAGACAGTCAAAACCAAGCCATTCTGTTTTACTAAGGTAGATGCAGAAGGTATACATCTCTATACTTTTTCCCCAGAACATTTATTCAATGTGCGGAAGTGTAGGGTTTTCACTTTTGTCTCTCTTGAGCTGATCATGCAGTTCTTTTAGAGGTCTTTCCCTTAATTTTCCTATTGAGTGTATGATTTGTCCCAGAGGGAGGAAAGACTAGAAGGGAGGCTGGGCCCCGGAGCCTGTGGGAGCAGGAGGGGTGCTGCCTGGGAGGGAGCAGTGGCGGAGCAGCGCTTCCGGGGGACCGGTGTGTATGCTGAGTTGGTGCAGTTGTCAAAGCCAACTCAGGGGGAAAGGCTTGACATCTCTGACCTGTGGGGTGTTGCCCTGAGGTGCAAATCTAAGGCAACTCTGAGATTTTAAATCTGGAAAGCTGAGAGAATGGCCATGCCATAAACAGAAGCATAAAGACTATGAACCTGATTTGAGATGGAGGATGGTGGTTTGCTTTGGGATGTAATTGAATCATTGTAGATAAAGATTTGGGGGTCATTTGTAGAAGTGAACTTTGAAATGGGGGGAGTAAATATCACTAAAGAAAGAAGAAAGTGTCGAGGATGGAAACCTGGAGAGCCTTCCCTTGGTGGGTTGTGGGATTGTGGGAGGGATGAGGAAGCACAGTCAGAGGCTACAAGGGAGCTGGGGAGGGCAGTGGGACAGAGGCCACACAAGCCCAACCCAGCAGGGTGAGGACCTGGCCAAGGGGTTCGGATACTGTGTGGAAGGTGGTGGGCTCTCAAGAAAGTCATTTAACTGAACTGAGAGAGGCATAAGGTGATAGAGGTTTGGTGATAGAGGTTAGGTGGTCTTCGGTGTCCCTAAGGAGGGCAGTTTCAGTGGATATGCAGAGGCTGTGGAACGAGGAGATGGTGAGGAAAGGGAGCGAGGCTGGCAGACTGTGCTTGAAAGTGGTTTGATGGAGAAGGGAAAAGGACAAGGCAGAAACTTGGGAGACTAGCCCTGCCTTGGGAAAGTTTTTTTTAAGTTAAGAGAGACTCAAGCACATATGTAGTCAGGAGAAACCCATGGAAGGGATGGATGGAAAGGAGAGATGGAGGATAATTATTGGAGTAGGACTCCAGAGGGGTCAGGGGCGATACTCATTAGCCTGGAAAAGAGGAGAAGGTGGGGGAGGAAAGCGAGCCAGGCAGAGGTGGAGGAACTTACTGTGCATGAGAGGCCCTGAGTCTTTTTGTTAAAGCAGGAAGCAAGGTCACCTGCTCAGAGGGAGGAAATGTGGGGAGGACTGTGGATTTGAAGATAGTAACTAATGACTGAAACAGCTTTTGTGATGGAAGATGTTGGGAGTCAGCCTGAGATCTAGAGTGCTGAGCAGTGATCACTGGGCAGAAACTGGGGAAGGCCGTGCCTCTGTGTGTGGGGGTGGGAGCATCCTGGAAGGCGCTGATCCTGGGCTCCAGGCTAGGCAGGAAGGCAAGTGAAGCCAGGTGGAGGTGATAGAGGCCTGGAAGTTGTGAACAGTGAACGGAACAAAATAAGGTTTATAGAAAGAATGAGTGAGTAAGGAAAGGAGGAACTAGAGAGGAATGCTATTGGATCATTATTTCATGTTCCCCTCTTTTTGTACAATTTTTCATGTCTCTCCCTAGTACCCCAGCCTTATGCTCCCTCTCATTTGTAACAGGTCTCTTGTGCTATTCTACATTGCGTATTCTACAGTGAAGAAAAAAGAAATAATGGAAACTGATCCTAGACTATATGGGCTACTAAAATTTATTCCAGACATTGTGTTAATCATTTTACACACATTTCTTTATTTTCTGTGCACAAAATCCCTCTGAAATTAAATAATAAACTTTCAGTACTCCTTTATAAACACAGTCACGGAGAGATTAGTTACCTCGTTCAAGGCCACAATGATGAGGTTAGTTTTGGACCCAGGCAGGTTGACCTGAGCACTGAACCACTTTTCTAAGTTGCCTCCCTGCCAAGCCTTGTTGCCGTTGTCATAGAGAGACTGTATGGCTGTTTCACCGCTGATCGGATTGTTGCTGTAATAACAACTAGCGTTTGTATTGCTCTTTAATGTTCACACACATGGTTTCCTTTGATCCAAACACTCCTGTGAAGTTTGCAGCCACATGCAAGACAAACATGACCTTTGACTCCAAGATCTCTACATCCTGAGCTCTGGTAGTGTTGGCAGTTTTATCATGACAGGGTTGCGACCAGGCCAAAGAACTGTAATCTTTTCCCCGCTCCCGCTTTCCTTAAATATGCTAGACTCCTTTTACTAAAAGCGTTTTCTCTATAGACCTTCTGCTTCTTTTCAGGTCATAGGACTCTCTACGTGGGGGTTCGGATGCCGCTGGGCCGGCAGAGCCATCGGCACCACCGAACCCATGGCCAGAAGCACCGGAGACGAGGCCGGGGCAAAGGAGCCAGTCAAGGGGAGGAGGGGCCAGAGGCCTTGGCCCATGGTATCACCCTTGGGAGAGAGGGTGGGTATCCATGGCTGGGGGTGCTTGGTGAGGAAATGTGTGAGGGACATTAAGCAGGTGGTCTTGATTTTCTAGCCCTTCTACAGAGTCTTCAGAGATTGCTTCTAAGAAGAATGTTTCTAAGACTCAAAAGTATCTTCCTGAAAACTGTACGGTTCAGGTCCCCAAAATCAATAGCTTACTAGGTGAAATCATTTCTTAAAGAATTAGGCATCCTGCCCTGCCGGGTATGGCTCAGTGGATAAGGTGCTAGCCTGTGAACCAAAGGGTTGTTGGATTGGTTCCCAGTCGGGGCTCATGCCAGGTGGGGGGGGGGTGGTGGTGAGAGGCAACCACAGAGTGATGTTACTTTCCCTCTCTTTCTCCCTCCCTTCCACTCTCTAAAAATACATAAATAAAATCTTTAAAAATAAATAAATAGTGCAAACTTGGTCACTAACTCTGGATGATGTTGCAGAAGTGAAGGGAACCAGGTTTGCTAAAGTAATTGTGGTGATAGAAATGTATTGGCCTCAGAAGCAACTGAGGTGGTCCATTCTATCCTAGGACAGTATAAAAATAAATAAATAAATAAAATAAAAAATAAAAAAGAATTAGGCATTCTTTTTGATCAAATTCATCGGATTTCCAGTGTCTCATGAATTTTCTTCAAGTAGTCTTAGTTTTTCCTCCCATGAAACTGCTTTCGAAGAAGACATTTAAATAAATTTTCTGGGAATAAAGAAATTTTTTTGATCTATGTTAGGATTATCTTCTATATATTCCTGAAGTTTTATGTCCCCCCAGACGTGCTAAGTATGGCAGAATTCTGTTTCTGTTGAGGTTGAGGCTGGGGCAGACCTTTCTCTGTGGTTGATTTTCCAGACACACCCTCTCAGCGTGTTCAGTTCATTCTCGGCACTGAGGATGATGAAGAGCATGTGCCTCACGAGCTGTTCACAGAGCTGGACGAGATCTGTATGAAAGAGGGAGAAGATGCTGAGTGGAAGGAGACAGCAAGGTAAGGCTCTGAAAAACCTGGGTCCCGATACGCTTGGGTGGGCCAGTGTTACCTTTCTGCAAGTGACAGGCCTGTCCTGTCTTTTATTTCTTCATGGGAGAGGTGATGACTGACGTGGGAATGGATGTTCCACAGTATTCTGTGGGAAGTCTTTTTTTTAAAGTTTGTTTGTTCGTTCATTTATTTATTTTTATCCTCACCCGAGGACATGCTTAATGATTTTAGAGATGGGAAGGGAGGGAGAGACAGAGAGAAACGTTGATGTGAGAGAAACATGGATCAGTTACCTCTCACATGCACCCTGACTGGGGGCCAAACCTGCTACCCAGGCATGTACCCTGACCGTAATTGAAACCATGACCTTTTGCTCTATGGATGATGCTCCAACCAACTGAGCCACACCAGCCAGGGCTGTGGAGTCTTGATGTTGGCCTCTTTGTGGTGTCTCTGGTCATACCTATGCCAGTTGACCTTAAGCCTGGGGTTGAGGTCCTCTCTTATTTTTGGGGGGCCCAAAGTACTTCATGGGCTATTTTGACATTATAGGTCTGGTTTAGAAGATGCCTGATCAGACCACCTTGGCTTGGACCTAGCCAGAAGACAAAGTGTAGGTCCAAGATTTTTCCTGCAGTTGAGCTATAGGGTCATTTGGGTTTTAATTCACTGGGAGTCCCAGAATTTTTGAGACTTTAACTTCCTATGGGACAATCCAACCTCACAGAGACCCTTGAGATTACAGTCATTCTAAGAGTAGGCTTCCTGGGGTAGTTGTGGAGTGGCCGTGCTTGTCTGAGTCTCAGACCCAAGAGGGGCCCTTAGATTAACCAGGGCTACCTCTAGGGCTTCTCTAGTAACTGACCAACAGGCTTATGGATGATACAAAGCCAGCATGTCTGGGCCTCAGGGTCAGAGGCAATGTGGGTAACTAGCACAGCGTGAACAGCTCTTCCCAGATGCCTCCTGTGTCCATGGATGTTTTCTACAGGCAGAGAGGGCTAAACACGCTGATCGGCCTGATAGCAAGTGAAAGGGCAGTTAATGTTGTCATTCTGTCTTTGCAAACTGCTAAAGTTCACATGGAGAGGCTCTTAGTTTTTTAATTTATTTTTTAAGAGTTTATTTATTTACTTTTAGAGAGAGGGGAAGGGAAGGAGAAAGAAAGGGAGAGAAATATCAATTGTGTGGCTGCCTCTCACATGCCCCCACCGTGGACTAACCTGCAACCCAGGCATGCGCCCCCACTGGGAATTGAATCTGTGACCCCCTGATTCACAGGCTGGCACCCAATCCACTGATCCAGCCACACCAGCCAGGGCTTAATATATTTTATTGATTGTGCTATTACAGTTGTCCCAATTTTTCCATTTTTGCTCTGCTCCACTTGGTATATACCCCCTTCCCTCCAGCAGCCCCCCACTTAGTTCATGTCCATGGGTAGCGCATGTAAGTTCTTTGGCTTCTCCATTTCCTATACTATTCTTAACCTCCCCCGTCTACTTTGTGCATACCATTTAGCTTCTTATTCCCTGTACCTTTTCCCGCATTCTCCTCCTTCCTTCTTCTTGCTGATAACCCTCCAAATGATCTCCATATCTATGATTCTGTTCCTGTTCTAGATGTTTGCTTAGTTTTTTGTTTTGTTTTGTTTTTGGATTCAGTTGTTATAGTTGTGAGTTTGTTGTCATTTTAATGTTCATAGTTTTGATCTTTTCCTTTTTCTTAAATAAGTCCCTTTAACATTTCATCTAATAATGGATTGGTGATGATGAATTCCTTTAACTTTACCTTGTCTGGGTAAGCACTTTATCTGCCCTTCCATTCTAAATGATAGCTTTGCTGAATAGAATAATCTAGGTTGTATGTCCTTGCTTTTTATCACTTTGAATACTTCTTGCCAGTCCCTTCTTGCCTGCACAATTTTTTTTGAGAAATCAGTTGATAGTCTTATGGGAACTCCTTTGTAGGTAACTCTCTGCTTTTAAGATTCTCTCTTTATCTTTAACTTTGGGCGTTTTAACTATGATGTGTCTTGGTGTGGTCCTCTTTGGGTCCAACAATGTTTGGGACTCTGTACTTCCTGGACTTTTATGTCTATTTCCTTCACCAAATTAGGGAAGTTTTCTTTCATTATTTTTTCAAGTAAATTTTCAATTTCTTGCTCTTTTTCTTCTTCTTCTGGTATCCCTATGATTTGGATGTTGGTATGTTTGGGGATGTCCCAGAGGCTCCTTATGCTATCCTTGTTTTGTTTTTTTTTATTCTTGCTGTTTTTCTTTTTTCTTCTTGCTGTTCTGGTTGAATGCTTATTTCTCCCTCAAATTCCAAATCGCTGATATGAATCCCAGCTTCCTACATTCCTCTATTGGTTCCCTATAGATTTTTCTTTATTTGCTTGGCATAACCTTCACTTCTTCCTAAGTCTTTCTTATTTTGTTCCTGTACTTGATGAGTTGCTTCCCTTTGAGCATCCTTGTCACCAGTGTTTTGAACTCTGCATCTGATAGGTTGGTTATCTCTGTTTCATTTAGTTCTTTTTCTGGGGTTTTGTTCTGTTCTTTCATTTGGGCCATATTTCTTTGTCTTCTCAATTTGGCAGCCTCCTTGTGTTTCTGTGTATTAGGTAGAGCTGCTTTGTCTCCCTGTCTTAGTAGCATGGCTTATTGTAGAAAAGGCACCTGCAAACTGTAGGGGTGGAGCCTTAGGTAATCACCAGGGTGTGGCAACCTGCTTTACCACTTTGTGGCTCTATGTGCTGGAAGGGCTCAGAGAAGGGACAGTGCTGCTGCCTGGCTTCTGGAGGTTTGCCTGGCACTCCCCCTGTGCAACTGGTGCCCTTCCAGCTGTTGCCCTGGTGCTGAATTCCAGAGGAACTGGATCTCCTTATGTTTTCAGTCCATGTGGGCCCTTTACTTGGAATCTCCTGAAAATCTGGCCATTTCTTCCACTACCCCAAACCCCACTGGGTTTTTTTTTTTAATTTTAGATTTTATTTATTTATTTTTAGAGAGGGAAGGGAGGGAGAAAGAGAGAGAGAGAGAGAAACATCAATGTGCAGTTGCTGGGGGCCGTGGCCTGCATCCCAGGCATGTGCCCTGACTGGGAATTGAACCTGCGATGCTTTGGTTCTCAGCCCGCACTCAATCCACTGAGCTACGCCAGCCAGGGCCCCACTAGTTTTTACAGCCAGAAGTTATGAGGATTTATCTTATTGGTGCTGGAACCCTGAGCTGTGTGGTCTGGCCTGGGGCTGGGATCACTTACCCCCAAGGTATCCCTCCACCACATGTGAGTGTGGGACCGCCGATTCTGCCACTGCCACATCTCTGCCCATCTGCATGTCTGTGCTCCTCCTACCTGTCTGGATGAATGTGGCTTTTTTAAATCCTTGGTTTTCAGACTTGCATACTGCTCAGTTTTCTGATGGTTCTGAGTGATACTTGTTTTGTGGTCTAGTTGTAATTCTTTCTGTGTTTGTGTGAGGAGGTGAAGTGTCTTACACATGTATGTGTTTGTATTTTTTTAAGTTTTCTTTAAATAAAAATGGAATTAAACTATACTCAATCTTGCACTGTTTTATAGCCTGCTGTTTTCACTTACCAAGGTACCCTGAACGTAGAGATTAGATTACAGTGTTCATTGTTTCTATTCAGATATCTTTCTTTGTGACTTACATTAAAGATTCTCTCTTGAAAAGTCCTCATTTTCTATCTTTGGCATCTAGTTCTTTGTAATGCTTTCAGGTGGTTGAAGTTTGAAGAAGATGTTGAGGACGGGGGAGAACGCTGGAGCAAGCCCTATGTGGCAACCCTTTCATTGCACAGTCTCTTTGAGCTAAGGAGCTGCCTTATTAATGGAACGGTCCTTCTGGATATGCGTGCAAATAGCATAGAAGAAATTTCAGGTAAGTGAAGTGAGGGAACGCAGGAATACTTGTGCAAGTTAAGAAGTGTGGTATAAAGGGAAGAATAAAGTGGTTGTGTGTCCTTAGGCAAGCTATTTAACATTCCCGACCTCAACATTCTCACCTGTGTGTTGGGTGTCAAACTAGGAAACTACCTACTTCACAGACTGGTGGGATTCAAATGACATGGTGTTTAGTCTTCCATTTGTCTGTTAATTCAGCAACATTTATTTTGTATTTATTTATGCCTGCTTATGTACTAGGCACTAGGGAATAAAGATAAAATGCAGTTCCTACCATCAAGAGGCTCATCTTTTAGTGGGGAAAATGTCCATGGAATAATTAACAGCAACAATGGAGATGTATTTGGATAATAGTTAGAGAATGGAGCAACTACAAGTTGTGCAGAGAAAAGAGAGTTAAAGAAAGTTTTTTAAAATATGGCAGCTAGGGAAGACACATAGGAAATTGGGCCAAAGTCCCCCCACTCTTTCAGCAAGATACGGAGGGGAGATATCTGTCGGAGCCTCCTGGGGCGCTTGAGTGTTCCGGCACTGTGTTTCAGGGAACATCAGGGCGCACTGGAGGAGTTTTCCCTTGGCTTGGCTTGGTTTGGCTGGACAGGTTAAATAAGGATTTCTCCAAAATTTTCTCCATTTAAGGTATCTAAGTAGTTCTGTCTCTCTGGGATCACATGGGGACACAAGGGAGGGGACACACGGGAGGGGTCAGCAGGGATGGAATCCTGTGTCCCTTCTGAAGACTCTACCAGAAAGTTGTTCCTTGATGCTTCTAGCTCCCAGTGTCCAGTGTCTCTCTTATAAGGATCTGTGTCTCTCTCTTATAATGATATTTGTCAATGTTATCCAGGATAATCTCATCTGGAGATCCTTAATTATATCTGCAGAGGCCCTTTTGACCAAAAAAGGTCATGTTCACAGGTTTGGGGGTAATATACAGACAGATTTTGGGGAGTCACCATTCAACCCACTACAAAAGCCAAGAGGGGAAAAATTTATTTTATTTTATTTTTTTAAATTTTTAAAAAAGATTTTATTTATTTATTTATTAGAGAGGAGAAAGGAGGGAGAAAGAGAGAGAGAATAACATCAATGTGTGGTTGCTTCTCATGTGGCCCCCACTGGGGACCTGGCCTGCAACCCAGGAATGTGCCCTGACTGGGAATCGAACCTGTGATGCTTTGGTTCACAGCCTGTGCTCAATCCACTGAGCTATGCCAGCCAGGGCTCTAGGAAAAAAATTTTAATTCATCAGTGTCAAATGCCACAGAGAGAGCAGGTTAGGTAAGAACTAGGAGCAGCCATCAGATGTAGCAACTGGAAGGTTATTGATGATTTTATCAAAAGAATTTCTTTGAAGTAGCCAAATTGCAGGGGGCTGAGGAATTTTTGTTTTGAAAACTTTAAGTGATGGGAGAGAGAGTGAGAGAGGTAGATAGATGGATAGATAGATAGACAGACAGATAAAGGAGGACTTGGGGTAGATATTCTTTTTTTTTTTTCAAGAAGAGGGATCCTTAAGCATGTTAATATGGGGGCAAGGAACCAAACAATATAAAGGCAAATATAGAGAAACATGGATCTTTGGCTTGAATATTTGAAAATAGATTTTCTTTATTTACTGCTACTAGCACTTGGGTAGTCATGGATGAAGTTGGGGTTGAGAACAGACTGAAGTTAGGGGAGGCTTGGGAGTAGGTTTGCAGAATTGAGGTAAAACTGCTGTGTTTCCCCACAGTAGGACCTGACGGGTTCACGTTGGTGATGAATCACAGCAGTGTTAAAGTTTGGAAAGGGTCTATAGAAGACCTTTGGCAGATGACGGAACAAAATGTGTAATATTGTGGGCTTTTGAGTTGGATGGCTTTGTGTTTGAATCCTACCTCCGTACATCTTATTGGATGTGAGACCTTGAGGAATTTTATAATGTTTGGGCCTCAGTTTCCTGATCTGTAAAAATTGTTATACCAGCCACTTTTCAGAGTTCTTACAAGGCTCAGATTAGATAATCTAGTATAGTTCCTGGCGCACAGAGAGTCCTCAGTAGTTTCTATTTCTAATAATGATGTGCTGGATGAATGAAGTGTAGCTGGCCCCAGCTGCTGTCATCAACCAGCTCTTTCGGGAGCTGAGGAGGAAACTGCATCTCACTGACACTGGTCGCACTGCCTCCCCTGCTGCTTGACCCGACCTGACGTTAGCCTCTGTGGGTCTGTGGACCGTCTAGTTAGAGGGTTCAGATAAGTGCCTGTTTTCCAGACCTGATCCTGGACCAGCAAGAGCTGTTCAGTGACCTGAGTGAGAGCATGAGGGTTAAAGTACGGGAAGCCCTTCTCAAAAAGCATCACCATCAGAATGAAAAGAAGAGAAATAACCTCATCCCCATTGTTCGCTCCTTTGCTGAGGTTGGCAAGAAGCAGTCCGATCCTCATTCGATGGATAAAAATGGTAAGATTATTAGGAGTGACTGTCTTCTCTTTTCATTAATAAGACATTTAGGAACTAGCTGGAGATACTAAGTTACCAGAGGGCGGGGCTATGTTTATCTAATATGCTTCCATGCTCACTCAGACACAGTACTTTTTGTGATTGGTAGGTGGGCGACTGGGACTGGTGGCTTCTGTCTCTTACAGCACTAGGGATACTGCCTCGGGTACACCTCAGTGGGCCCAGGGTGAGAGGTTTGCACCCCAGATTGGCCTCAGCACTGATGTGGCTCTTGGGAGATATCCACCTTGAGGTAATTAGGGGCCAGAGAATTTGGGGGTCACCTGGAGATTTTTAAAGAGGAAACATAGGTTAGGGAGGCAAAATACAGTAGTGTAGACTCTTGAGTCCAACTTTAGGTTTGAGATTCTGACTTTACCACTTGCAAAGCGTGTGACCTTGAGCAACCTCCTAAACCTCTTTAAGTGTCCTTTTCTCCTCTGTCAAATAAGGATAATAATAGGTTCTATGCCATAAGTTTGTTGTGAGGCATCAATGACTTAATTCATGTAAGGTCCTTAGCCAGGTGCACTGAATGAATTTCAGCTACTGACCGGTTTCCTTCTCTGTAGCCAGGCAGGGCCTAATCTACATTGGTCTCCTTGTCCCCACATTCTCTGAATCACGTTTTGCAGGGGATTTGCCTGGGAATCTGTATATTTGAAAAGTTCTCCATGGGAGTCTCTGGTATCCATTCTTAGTTAAGGGTTACTGCCTCAATAGAGGAAGAAAAGAGGGTTACACAGATGTTCAGGAAAAAGGCGCAGGAGTACTAATACCTCTTTTCCCCCTTCACCACTGACTAGCAGGCAAGAAGACAGGCATGTGTGGTCCTAGCTTCTTGGCCATCTTAACTACTTCTTTAGGTGGGCTTTGCAGGAAGGAGATAGTCAGTCATAGCTAATCAGTCATGAATGAGGTCTATTAGATGAGGAAAGGGCAGGCACTCAGAGAATTCTGTTTGATTTTCTCCACATAGGTCAAACTGTGTCTCCTCAGTCTGTTCCAACTACAAATCTGGAAGTAAAAAATGGAGTGAATTGTGAACACAGTCCCGTGGATTTAAGCAAGGTGAGCAGAGACAGAGGAAGTTGGCTTATAGGCCTAAGCGTATCTCTAGTGGAACCCAGAGTAAGCGTTGGTATTTCAACAATCTTTTTCCAAGACCAGCGCCCCTTCTGCAGAAAAGGAGGCCTGTCTGGTCATCTCTTCCTCCTTCTGCTGCAGCCAGGGTGGGGCTGACTCACCAGTTTATCCCACCAGGGCTGACTGCTGAAACTGAAACTTGAACGGATAATCCTCCCTGACACAGGCCTCCCGATTTTTCAGATTTATTTTTTGGTACCTGCTCTCCAGCAGCTCCTTCTTACTTCCAAGGGTTTTGTTCAAACAATATTTTTGCTACTGTCTCCTAAAACTACTTTATGGTTGATACTCTTGGGGACCGTGGTTTTGTTGTCTGAGGCCTCACTGCAGTTTCTGGTTCAAGCCATGGTCTCCTGCCTCTAGCCTCTTCTTGTGCTGGGCTGTCCTTGATGTCACCTTGCTGAAACGCAGATAGTGGCAGCCCATGTCTCTGCTCACAAGGCAGGGAGCCTCGTAAAACCTTGAAACCTCTGACAAAGCAGTCAAGTATTTTAAAACAGAAAATGTTTGACATAGAGCTTCAAAAACATTTTTCGAGAAAGCGTGTGTAATGGAATTCAAGTCAGAGCACCTGGATTTAAATCCTAAAAGCTCTGTCATCCTGAGCAACTCAACTTCACCTTTCCGGGCCTTGGTTGCTTCATTTTTTAAAATAAAAAATGGTGCTAATAAGATCTGTCTTACCCACCTTACAGAGTTCTTGTAAGGATCAAATGAAATAGGATAAGAAAAACATTTGTTAAACCATGAAGCGACACAGAAATGTAAGGCGTGAAGAAGGTGATCGGTGTCGGAGGCAATGCCTCCGAGGTTCTCACAGGTTATTTGGACTTTCAGGTGGACCTTCATTTTATGAAAAAAATTCCCACTGGGGCAGAGGCCTCCAACGTCCTGGTTGGCGAGGTGGATACTCTGGACCGCCCCATCGTGGCCTTTGTGAGGCTGTCTCCAGCTGTTCTTCTCTCAGGCCTGACAGAGGTGCCCATCCCCACAAGGTAAAGACAAAGACGGCACGACTCAGTTCTATCCAGAGCACATTTATGTGAGCTCAGGGGGAAGAAACCAGTTAGTGCCCAAGCCTAGGATAATTAATTAATTTTGGGATTGCTGCTTAAAATTCAGCAGTGATCTCACTGGGGTTTAATTGGTTAATCTCCATGCAGAAGAATTCTAAGACTTTTAAGGCTATGACCGCACAGTACCTGCAGCCCTGGAAATGGAGAACTGAAGAGCATTTGAAGGGCATAGCAAGGGCTACCTTACCCTCCCAGCTCTATAGAGCCGTATCCCAGGGAAGTGTCTCTAAGCAAAGGCATTGATGTCTCTTTCCACAGTTCTGGCTTGGATTTATTTGGCTGGCAGATATGTCCACATTTGTTCAAAGGGCTATTCATGCACTCTGAAGGCAGTGATTCAGGTGACTCAGAGCCCCATTAATTATGCAGTATTCAGATGTCCAGAATACAATTTAGACTCCTCTCCAGGGCTTGATAATTTCAACTTCCTTATTCTTTTCTCCTCTCCATCATTTTCTTTTTTTAAAATATATTTTATTGATTATGCTATTACAGTTGTCCCATTTTTTCTCCCCTTTATTCCCTTCCACCCCACACCCGCCTCCCATTGTCATTCCCCCCCGCCCCCTTAGTTCATGTCCTTGGGTCATACATATAAGTTCTTTGGCTTCTCCATTTCCTATGTTTTTCTTAACCTCCCCCCGTCTTTTTTTGTATCTACCATTTATGCTTCTTACTCCCTGTACCTTTTCCCCCTCTCTCCCCACCCCCTCCCTGCTGATAACCTTCCATCTGATCTCCATTTCTGTGATTCTGTTCCTGTTCTAGTTGTTTGCTTTATTTTTTGTTTTCTAGATTCAGTTGTTGATAGTTGTGAGTTTGTTGTCAGTTTACTGCTCATATTTTTGATCATCTTCTTTTTCTTAGATAAGTCCCTTAAACCTTTCATATAATAAGGTCTTAGGAGCGATAAACCCCTTTAACTTGACCTTATCTGGGAAGCACTTTATCTGCCCTCCTGTTCTAAATGATAGCTTTGCTGGATAGAGCAATCTTGGATGTAGGTCCTTGTCTTTCATGACTTGGAATACTTCTTTCCAGCCCCTTCTTGCCTGCAAGGTTTCTTTTGAGAAATCAGCTGGAAGTCTGACGGGAACTACTTTGTAGGTAACTCTCTCCTTTTCTCTTGCTGCTTTTAAGATTTTCTCCTTCTCTTTAACCTTGGTTAATGTAATTATGATGTGCCTTGGTGTGTTCCTCCTTGGATCCAACTTCTTTGGGACTCTCTGAGCTTCCTGGACTTCCTGGAAGTCCATTTCCTTTGCCAGATTGGGGAAGTTCTCCATTATTTGTTCAAATACGTTTTCAGTTTCTTGCTCTTCCTCTTCTCCTTCTGGCACCCCTATGATTTGGATGTTAGAACGTTTAAAGCTGTCCCAGAGATTCCTAAGCCTCTCCTCATTTTTTTGAATTCTTGTTTCTTCATTCTGTTCTAGTTGAATATGTCTTTCTTCCTTCTGCTCCAAATCATTGATTTGAGTCCTGGTTTCCTTCCCGTCACTGTTGGTTCCCTGTACATTTTCCTTTATTTCACTTAGCATAGCCTTCATTTTTTCATCTAATTTGCGACCATACTCAACCATTTCTGTAAGCATCCTGATTACCAGTGTTGTTGTTTTTTTAAAGATTTTATTTATTTATTTTTAAAGAGAAGGAAGGGAGGGAGAAGCAGAGGGAGAGAAACATCAATGTGTGGGTGCCTCTCACATGGCCCCCATTGGGGACCTGGCCCACAACCCAGGCATGTGCCCTGACCTGGTATCGAACCAGTGACCCTTTGGTTTGCAGCTCACACTCAATCCATTTAGCTACACCAGCCAGGACTGATTACCAGTGTTTTGAACTCTGCATCTAATAGGTTGACTGTCTCTTCGTTGCTTAGTTCTATTTTTGGAGTTTTGATCTGTTCTTTCATTTGAGCCATTGTTTTTTATCTTGGTGTACCTATTATGTTGTAAGAGGTGGAGCCTTAGGTATTCCCCAGGGTGGGGCAACCCACGTTGTTGCATTGTGGCATTGTATGTGGGAGAGGAGTCGAAAGGGAACAATGCCTCTTGCTTGGTGGGCTTTCATTCACTTCTTATGTTTCCCACAAGCAAATTGGGTCCTTCTGGTGCTGATTCCCAGGTGGGTGGGTTTGTGTACATTCTAGGACCCTGTGGGTCTCTCCAATGAACTCTTCTGTGAGGCTGGCAGTTTCTCCCACTGCCACAATCTCCACAGGTTTTTTCGGTCAGAGATTTTGAGGCTTTATTTCCTCACCCTGGTACCCTGGGTTTTGTGGTCTGTCTCGCTCCCCAGTTGTTCCTCCCAGTTTATCTGCATGCAAATGTGGGATCCCCCAGTCTGCCAACTGCAGCCTTGCTGCATGTCCTCTCCACCCCTCCTACCAGTCTGAATGAACGTTTTTTCTTTAACTCCTTGACTGTTGGACTTCCATACAGTTAAATTTTCTGGCAGTTCTGGTTGTTTTCTGTTTTCATATTTGTTGTTGTCCTTCTTTTGGTTGTGCGAGGAGGCAAAGTGAGGAGGCAAACCTATGCCTCCATCTTGGCCAGAAGTCCAGGAAAATCTCTTCATCATTTTCTTATTAGAACAATGAATGAGATTCTGATAATGTTGAATTTGCATTACAATGCGATGTTTTTGAAAAAGTGTCTTTTCTTTAGCAAGAAATGGTGTTTATGGAAATCCCAAGAATTACCACCACATTATTGCATGGAGTCATACAGATAGCTTCCAACGCCCACCGGGGAGCTGTTAGATCAAGGCAGCTCATTTTGCTCCACCATTAGTCTGCTTCCTTTTATTGAGTGTACCATGATGATTCCTGTTCAACAGGAGAGAGAAATGTTCTGCTGCTCTTTAGAGAGGAGTAAGATGTCACTTCTTTATTTTACTTACATAATTTCCTCCTTTGTGTGTGTTGCCAGATTTTTGTTTATCCTACTGGGTCCAGTAGGGAAAGGTCAGCAGTACCATGAGATTGGCAGGTCCATGGCCACTATCATGACAGATGAGGTATGTGCCACTTCTGTTTTTCCTTCATTCTTCTCATAAATAATTACTGTTTACTCTGTGCCAGGCACTGTGCTCATTGTTGGGTATAAAATTATTACAGTTGAAGTGTCTGCTGGGAAGCAATTCAGGTCACTTCTCTGATTGCTTCTTGCTTATCAAATAATCAAAGATGCAGAGAAATCTTTTTCTTGGAAAATTATTATTCCCACATAGGATACTAAGAGAGAAAGATATTAAGGCTGACTTAACTTTCTGGAGAGGACTGTTAATTAAATGCATCCAGCCAGTTTACGTAAAGAAACCTCAGTCCTGTTCCATATAAGTGAGAGCAGTTTGTTTAAGAGTCAGGGGTTTATGCTCAGCACTGTAATGTGAATGCACCAAGGCAGCCAGCCACTTTGGCGGCCACAGGGCTGAACCCCATGGCATGCCTTGGTGAGGACTTTCCTGCTCATGTGAGTTGCAAAGCAGGAATGTCAAGGCATGTGTCTTAGCAGGCAGAGGAGACGGGGCTGTGTTTTATCAGCTCTCTTTGATTAGGAGACTTATTTCACCGAAGACCTTCATTAGTCATTCCACCCAGTTTTTCCAACCATTATGATCAGGAAAAATTTCCCATGCATCTTTTATTCCATTTTTTGAGGAAATAACAATTATGCAACTGTAGAATTATAGAGTGCCTTATCCAATGTAAAAATTATACAAATGTCCTGTCTCTTCTTATACTAAGAGACATATGTTTAGTTCTTTTTGACTTATTTTTAGGTTCATTTTTAAAAATCATTTTATCCTTGCACTTCTCTAAATGCTAAAGTTTTCTACATTTCAGATCCCCATGACAGAAATAAAAATCAAGAGGCTGCATTCATTCTTCCCCATATCCACTGGTGATTGTTTTAGGTAACATCATTTTCAACTTTCCTGAGGGTTTTTTCTTCTCTGTAGATTTTCCACGATGTGGCATATAAGGCAAAGGAGCGAGATGATCTCCTGGCGGGGATTGATGAGTTCTTGGACCAGGTGACGGTGCTTCCTCCAGGGGAGTGGGACCCCTCCATTAGAATTGAGCCACCCAAAAATGTCCCTTCCCAGGTAATGTATGCACATTAGCCAGTGGTGGCTTCGTGTCACTTACAGAATGCCTAACCATGGACAAACAAGGACTGTGTTGGATATATGCTAAATAAATTGGCACATGACCCTGTTTGGGGGCACCCAGAATGTCAGAATAAGAAATGAATGTGCAATAACACAGATCAGCTCTGGTGTGGCAGGGCCAGTCAGGATGAATCTGAAGCCAACTTTTGAAGAACTGATGTGGACTGGCAGAGAGGAGAGTGAAGGACATTTCTTGGGAGAGTGAAGGACATTTCTTGGGAGCATGTTATGAATGACACTGTTTTAAATGAAAAGAGGGAGTTGTATAGAGAGAGCAATTAGAGTTCCCTGCACTTTTTTGACCGGTTAAAGATGGGAAGGATACTCCTACTGTGCACTAGGCAGGGAACCAGGTGCCTTACATATGCTAATTCAATCTTCTCAGCAACATCCCCACAAAGGTGTTGTTATCCTTAGTTTACCAATGAGGAATAAAACTATCTACAAGGTTTTAAGGTAAAATAAGATTATATAGAGGCAGATTTGAAACTGGAGCTTAGGTTATATCTGGTTTCAAAGCCTCCATTTTTCTGCTTCTGGGCAAGGCTAAATCTGCCCAGAAGTCAGGTCCTAGTGGAGAGGAGGAAAAATTATGTTTTTTGTTTTTTCTCAGAAAAGTCAATAAACTGCTTCAAATCAATGAATGCATGCTACAAACACTTGGGTATTTTTTGGCTGCTTTTGGGTTATTTTACCACTTCCCATTGTTAGTAGAAAGTACAGAATAGATGGCTTGACTTCATTGATTTTGTGGTCATCTCTGTTAAAAGGAGAAAAGGAAAATGCCTGGAGTTCCAAATGGAAACGTGTGCCACATAGAACCAGAACCACACGGGGGCCACAGCGGGCCGGAACTTCAGCGCACCGGGCGGTGAGTTCCGGGACATTTCCCAGCTGCTTGCTGGGCACCAGTTGTGTAAAGGAATGAGTCATCCTCTTTGCTTTCAGCCTCCTCTGTAGCAGCTTAAATGGCTGGGAATGACTCTTCAAATGGAACCATTGGCTATAAGTATTATAAACGTATCAAATAGTGTATTCATTCAGTACCAAGCTCTGTCTCACCTCCAGTTCTTCCCACACATCGTACCCTCTGATTTGAACACACATCCCCTTCCTCCTCTCCTGGCTAACTGCTGCTTATCCTTTGTCTCAGCTTAGGTGTCACTTCTTTTGGAAAGCCTTCTGGGACTCTCTGTTGGTGAGGTTAGGCGTTCCTGCTATATGGTGTCACAACTTTGAGCTCTGTCCCCTGCCCACCTGCCACCCAACTCTCAACCCCCTGTGACAGCTCTTATTATACTTTATTATTGCTTGGTTCATTGTCTTTCCTTCTAGAATGTTTGCTACGTAACGGCAGGGACCCCATTATATTACTAGCACCCAGCATAGTGCCCTGCACAGAGTAGGTACTCAATAACGAACGAATGAATGTATGCTTTTAGAAGAATGCCTGCTCAGTGACATGAATGGATTAAGTATGGATAAATATTGAGTGGTTATTTTAAGAAACTCCCTTAGGGTAGGAAAATAGGTACCATTTTAGGTATGTGTCTCAGAATGGGTAATCTACTCTTCTAGACCAAGATTTTGAGAGGTGATGTCCGAGAAGGAGGTTCACTGTGTGTGGTAGGTGCAGGAAGCAGGTTCCCAGACTAGGCGGTTTTGTTTGCCAGGTGGGAAGGTGGTAAAGCGGATGATATTTTGGGTTGATCTCAGAAGAAGGTGGAGACTGTGGTCCTGGCTCTGTGAGCTGTGCTTGTTTCGGAATGACCTGCTGCCGGGCAGAGATTCTCAGGGCAAGACTCAGACGTGGAAAGAAGCTTTTAACATTTTCTACTCTCTTGCTTTCACTTTATTTTATTCTTCCTTGCCCAAGATATTTTTCTTTTGAATTGTGAAGAGCCATTTACTTTCCCATTATTGGAAATTCAGGGAGAGGAGGTGAGGGAGAATGAGGAGCAGGAGAGAATGACACTTCACTGCCGTGTCCCAACAGGGGAGCTGTCTCCTGGCTGGAAGAATGTATTGAGGATGGAGAAGGGTAAGCAGGTTCTGGGGAGGGATCACTGGGGCAAGGAGGAGCCCTTTGGTGGAAGGGGTCACTGAAAAGAGGGAGCAACCTTTAAGAGTAGGTTTAACATTCTTTTTTAAGTGGGCAGAAGTCCAAATTTGGTGGGGAGGTCTGGTATTGAGAGCTGGTTCAAGGGAAGCATCTGTCCTTAGAGTAGGTTTCGGGATTGTGAGACTGTCCTAGAGGGGCTGGTGTTGATTTTTCTTTGTTTGTTTGTTTTTAGGTGGTGGTATTTAAGGGGAAGGGCCTTGGGGTATGGATTTGATAGTGTTTCAGAGTTATGATGTATCTTTTGAATATAAAGGGTGTTGACACCCCAGCACTTAGAATTTGAAAGTATAAGAAATACGGGCATCAAGGTTTCCTCCAAACAGATCACCCATGCAGTGGGGAGACTTCAGGTTTCTGTTAGTGTCAGAGCGAGGGGAGTGAACTAGGCCCAGGCCTTTTGAGGGGGAGGTCACTTATAATCGATTTCATATGGGGGTTTAGGAGACTATTAGATTGGATTTCAGTAGTTACAGAATCTCAGAAATGGCACCTGACATCCCAAAAGAAAATCCCATATAGCTAGGACCATCACATGTTTACACACCAACCCCAAATTACTTTAATCACAAAATCAAATGGGGTTTGGGGAATTCTCCCACACCATGCTGTAACTTCTGGAATTGGCAGAGCTGAAAGAGGAAGGGTCATCTGGGCTCAGAGCTAGTTTTGCCTGGTGTGGGAGATGCTTTCTCTTCCTGAGCTCCTGCAGTTTTCCTCAGGGCCCTTTGTAAAAGACTTCAAGACACTTGGCCTTCCTCCCGTGTAACCTTTTCAGCCAGGTGACTTAATGCCTGTATCAGGGACTATAGTTCCATGCCAGCTCTGGCCCCATAATTTTAATTTACGTAGGGGGTGAGTGTGAGCCTTCCTCTGAACATGGACATCCTGGAGCTTCCCGGACCCTCCTGGGTTGAACAGACTAAACCTGCCTTGGCCTGGGTTTTGTAATTCCTCACACCATTAGTTATGTTTCTTTGAGGTGATGCAGCACCTGGGGCAAAACTTGGAGACTTAGGGGATGGCACCCTTGTTGGATGGAGGAGTGTTTGAAGGTGTGGGAGTGCAGCCAGACTCTAAGACAGAGAGAAAGGAGACCGAGGTGAGCACAGGACTCCGAGCTTTGTGTTATCTGATCCCTGAGCCAGGGCTCAGGCAGCACCTTAGAGCTCCCTGATGTTGACGGAGGCAGTGACACCTGTGCATTTTTGCACAGAACAGAAGGAAAGTCTGATTAGACTGCTCCTAGGCCAGATACTTCACAGCAGAGAAGAGACTCCGGAAAGGGGGTTTCCAAGGTGGATTTATGTACTTAATTGTGGATGCCACTTTTGGGAAGGGTTAATAAAAAAAGAATCAGGACCTACTATCTCGATGATCCCCACTACCCCCGCACTTCATACAGGTTTCTTCCAAAGCACACCAGACAAATGGATGGCTGTCCTGTCCCTAAAGCCCCCCATTCCCCCGCTTGCCCCAGAGAAGGGCTCCTTAAAGTCAGTGCTTCAGAGCCTAGTGACCCCCTACACAGGTACGTCCTTTCTTACATTGAGCTTAAATTCATATTTATGTAAGCCTGCCCCCTGCCCCTGTCAATTTGAACATTAAGGGCCGTGTTGAAAGGTAAGAGAAGTCTAAAATCTGGGCAGGGGGAAGCATCCATGTCTGATTAATATCTGTGGTAGATGTGTGATTATGGTCTGATTTTATTAATGAGTGAGTGAGGTATGTGGTTGACTCCATAAACAGTGTTCACAAATTATTTTATTAATTTGTAGTTATGCCATCAATAAAAGCCTCAGATCTTTTCTCTCCCATTTTAATTACTGATAGGCAGACGGATGTCCTCCCTTTCTACGGCTTCTCATAAATCCATTTCACATAAATCTTCTGTCTGTTACTCACAGACACTCCTCCCTAAGGGCCGCTCCTGCGTCCAGGGGCCTACCAATCACATCAGCGCCTCAGGCTGCCTCAGTGGGGTGAGGCTCATTACTGCAGGAGGAGGTTCTTCTCTCAGAATAATACATACCCTTCAGAGGAAGGTCGCTGGTGATTGAGAGGTGATATTCACGTGGTACTAAGATGCTGTGTTGGCTAAGGACCCAGAAACACTAGAGTCTTGCCCCAGACTAATTGCTGCTGCCTGTAAGTTTCTTAAGGGGCTATTTACCCATAGAAGAAAGCAAGAAAAAATATTTTATTACAAACTGAAACCTTGGTCCCAAACCCTGAGGTGGATCTCTTTCTTGTGCTCTAGGTTAAACTCTGTAGACAGCTCCTTCCTTAGCCAGGTGTGCCAGGCAGGCTGACACCGAAGCAGGTCACCAGGCTGGCTCTGCTTCTCTCCCCTAAGCCCAGTCCGGACTGGGATGTTACTGCTGTAAGTTGAGAAAGGGTGGATCACAACTCTGCCCACCCAAGCCAGAGGAAAATAGCAAGCGGGTATCATCATACAGTGTCTGCCCCATGTCCACCACACACTCACTGCACCTCACCAGAGGAGAGAGGATGGAGAAGGCTTGCTGTGCCTTCTGTCCTGGCACACAGGTCCCAGACCTTGTGGTACACCTCCGGGCTCCTGAAAAGAGGAAGGCAGGCAGGCAGGCAGGCAGGCAGGGAGGGAGGGAGGGAGGGAGGGGTAGAGAAAGGAAAGAGAAGGAAGGAAGGAATGAAAGACTGGCCGAACCTCCTTTCATGAGAGAGATTTTTTTAAAGCTTTTTATTATAGGAAATTTCAAACATATAAAAAAGAAGAAAGAATAGTATAATGAACCCCACCATGTGCCCACCAACAATTATCAACATTTTGCTGGCTTCGCTTTACCACTTAATTGTTTTGTTTTATGTTTTCTAGATTATTTTAAACCAAATCACCAGTAGCATGCCATTTTACTTGTAACTACTTCAGTATGTATCTTCGTTTGGTAAGGACACTTTTAAAAACAACTATTGTGCCATTATTAAATCTAACAAAATTAACAACAATTCTTTTTTTCAATACTTTTAAAACTCCTCACCTGAGGATATGTTTATTGATTTTTTTTAGAGAGAGAAAAAGGGAAAGAGCGAGAAACATCAATGTGAGAAACATCGATTGGTTGCCTCCCATATGTACCCTGACTGGGGATTGAACTTACAACCTAGGCATGTGCCCTGACTGGGAATAGAACTTGCCACCTTTTGGTGTACAAGACAATACTCTAGCCAATTGAGCTACCCAGTCAGGGTGACAGTAATTCTTTAAATTTTATATTGATCAGTCCATATGCAACTTTTTGTGATTGTCTTAGTAACATCTTTTTAGAGTTAATTTGTTTGACATAGGATCCAATCAAGGTTTGCATTTGGTTATTATGTTTCCATTCTCTCGCAGCACTCACTCCTTTTTGTCTATCCCATTGATTTATAGAAGAAACCAGGCATTGTCCTGTAGAATGCTGAATGGCTCTTTTTTCATTCACCTAACAACTTTTACCGTGGTACAGTTACTCCCCTCTTAGAAGTGACTCAGTGTGGGAACGCTGCTAATCCTGGGTGTGGGATACCTTGCACTTGATCTGTCTCAGCACAGAGGAGTCCTCAAGTCCTGCCCCCAGGTCCTGTTCATCCTGACTCCTGATTAGCCCCTGAATCTGTTCACCTCTCCCCACCCCCATCCAGCACCTCTGGCCTCGCCCCATGTTCCATTCCTTACATCCACACCGTGATCCTTCCAGAATGCAGGTTTAATTATGTTGCCCCTGTGTACTATCCTTCAGTGACTTGACATGCCATTAGGATAAAGTTCTAATTCCTTAAAACAGTTTCCAAGGTTTTTTGTGCCTCATCTTTTCTAGCTGCTCTACCCTTGGCTGTAGGTTTTTGTCTCTCACACTGTCTTGTCCAGCCATATCTCTTTCAGCACCTCGAACCTGCCGTGTGCTCTCGCCTCTAGGTTTCTTCCATGCTAGCCCCTCTTCCTCAGCAGGCTAACTCCTGGGCCACTCTTTGAGTCCCTGCTGAAATGCCCCTCCCTATTCTGTGCTTCCTGTCTCCTGCACTGGCCCTTTGGTCCCAGAGAGAAGGGCTGTGTGTGCCTTGCTCACTGCTGCTTCTCCAGGACCTGGCACAGTGCCTGGCACAAAGTACCTGCCACTGCTTGTCAACTGCATGAATGAATTATTATGCTCATTTCTCAAGAGTAAGGTGCATAGTTGTTCAGAGTAGGAAAGTGCATGTGAAAGAGGCACATTTTCTAGAAAGATGTAATGAAACTAACAGTTTTAATACCTTGAATTGGTTTTGCACCTTTCCTCCTAACAGCTCAGAGCTTGAAGTTTGAAGCTAATACTTAATTCATATTAAGTTTTTGGAACTTTCTATTGAATGGGTAATATGCACACCTAAATGAATTCTCATGCTTTGGCTAATCATTCAAATTCATGCTCTTGGTTGCAAATAGAATCTTTGCTGATCCCAGGCATATCTCTTGTACTTGGGAGTCAAGTTGAAGCCAAAATATTATCTTAGTACAGAGCACATTTGAAGTGCTTTTATTTTTTTATTTTTAAAAAATATTTTATTTAGCCCTGGCTGGTGTGGCTCAGTAGATTGAGTGCTGGCCTGCAAACCAAAGGGTTGCTGATTTGATTCCCATTCAGTGCGCATGCCTGGGTTGTGGGCCAGATACCCAGTAGGGGGCATGCAAGAGGCAATCAATGCATGAGAAACATTAGTTGGTTGCCTCTCACATGAGCCCAACCTGGGAACACAGTCCACAACCCAGGCATATACCTGACTGGGAATTGAACTGGCGACTTTTTGCTTTGTGGGACAATGCTCAACCAACTGAGCCACGCCAGTCAGGGCTTGGACTGCTTTTAAATGTGTGCTGTTGTTATGCTCCTGCAAAAGTGGGACTGTGCCAGAGGCCTGTCTGCCATGTGTTCACAGGCTATTTGGGGGCTTGGTGCTGGACATCAAGCGGAAGGCCCCCTGGTACTGGAGCGACTACCGGGATGCGCTCAGCTTACAGTGTTTGGCCTCCTTCCTGTTCCTGTACTGTGCCTGCATGTCACCTGTCATCACCTTTGGGGGATTACTTGGAGAAGCCACAGAAGGACGCATAGTAAGAACTTTTAACCACTCCTAATGTCCCAATGAAGACTTAAAACATTGGGATGGCAGCCGAGTTCTCTGGGGGAGAAGTTCCCTGGGCTGGGACTATGGAGACTGGGATCTTTCTATTGAATTGCTATGGTATTCTGACTACTATGGTACCACACAGCGACTCAGTTCTTCCTTTAGAGCAGATGCACTTCTGCTTGAATCTCAATTTCAGCAGCTGATTGTCCAGTTGAATTGCCCATTGCTACAAGGATGGGAAATGATATATTAATGTCATTTGAAAATAAGATTTAAGGTGATTCTGTATGACATCTCTTAGTGTGAATGGTATCAGTGTGCTTTCTCTCTATATATTTAAATAGTGGCTTGAGTCACTGCAGAACAGGACTTCATTAAGGAACCATATGTGGATGGATTTGGGCTTCTGAGTTATCAAAGTGATGCCATTTACAGGAGTATTAGACAGTGTGTACACATCCCTCTTGTTGAGATGAAACACAAGCAAATAACTTGTCAGGGCGCATGTGAGAGCTAAGGCAGGAATGTACATAAGCCCACAGTACTCATTACAGATGGGCTGTGGGGTCAGTGATGTTTTTTCCCCTCTCAGAGTGCGATCGAGTCCTTGTTCGGCGCCTCCATGACTGGGATCGCCTACTCCTTGTTTGCGGGACAGGCTCTCACCATCCTGGGAAGCACGGGGCCAGTGCTTGTGTTTGAAAAGATCTTGTTCAAATTCTGCAAGTAAGACATCTGTTTTTCTGAAAACTCTGACTGGCTGTGTTGTGCTATTGGGGTTGAATGCCAGGGTCCCAGCTGAGTGTATGCAGGCAAATATTGTTCTGGCTGGCAAAAGCCGGAAGACAGAACATCGTTTGGTGTGGGGCTCTGCCTCCAGGCGGTACCATACCTAAAACAGCAGATCTCCCCGTCTTAAAGAGCTTTATTAGTGTCCCTGAGCCACGATTGAAATCCTGACTTTTTATCTTTTAGAAAACTCACCTTAACTAATTCACACTCCTCCATTTCCATTTCAAGTCAGTTTTTAATTTGGCCTACTTACCCTTTCATATTTTGGTTGCTGGTGGTGCGTGCTCAGCGATGCCCTCATCTCTCTACTTTTCCCAGAACTGATTTTTTAATAGACCTTTTTCATTCTGTAGTAGAAATAGGAGCACAAAGAACAAGGGCCAGCCAGCTCTTTTTTCTTAACTGCAAGAATGCGATCTTGATCACGCTGGGCAGTAATGGCAGAAATGTGTGAGGGGCAGTTCTCCACTTTCTGTGTCCTTGTTTAGCAAATGCCACCCGTGGAGCAAATCTTTGTCACAGGTGTCCCAGGGCAGCATTGCAAAGTGGAGTGCAGTCAGAATTGGGGAGAACTGGGTTGTAATACTGGTGTAGGTATTAAGACATGAAGTCACATTTTTGACCCTTTGTCTCTTACTGCCACCCATCCATGTTTTTTGATGAACCCTGGTCTTGTTTCAGAGACTACGCTCTTTCATACCTCTCCTTGCGTGCTTGCATTGGACTGTGGACTGCCTTCCTATGCATTGTCCTTGTGGCAACCGATGCCAGTTCCCTTGTCTGCTACATTACCCGCTTCACTGAAGAAGCATTTGCCTCCCTCATTTGCATTATTTTCATCTATGAAGCAATAGAAAAGCTGATTCACCTGGCAGAGACCTACCCCATCCATATGCATAGCCAGCTGGACCACCTTAGCCTGTATTAGTAAGTATGCTTTCTGCTGATCTTTGTTTGTTTGTTTGTTTGTTTGTTTATATTGAGCAAATGGCCTGAGTTTAATGGTTGATATAGTGTGCCAGGCAGTGCTTACAGCTTCTGATAAGGATCTGTCTTGGCCCTCTGGGGAGCAGAGCTCAGATATGGATGTGGAGACTTCGGGGGCTGCCAAAGGAGAACAGTCAAAATTGATGACAGAGTGAATGGACTGAGAGTGAAACTCAGATGGGACTTGAGAAATGCTTCCCAAACATGTCTTGTGGTTCCAGGCATTGAGACAAAAATAGGCTGCCGATATAGCAGGGGGAATTCAGCTTAGTTGTTGGGAAGAACTTCATTTTGTAAGGACTTGTGAGACCCTGGGACCATTTACCAAGATATTTATCTAGAAATCTATTTATTTCAACTAAAGAGACTGTTTTCTTCACATGTTCAACATAGTTTGGATCAACTGGAAAAAAACCACAGTATTTGTCTGTGTTTTCAGCCATCAGAGAGTCTGGTCCTGTACAACATATCTTCTCCAGAATAGGACTCTCCAAATTGTGACTAAAGACCCTCATCCTTTAGCCCAGTACCTCGAGTTCCAGCCCATCTCGCTGTGCAGCTCTGATGCAGAGGGGCTGGTGGTGAGGTGGCCGGTTTCAGCCTGAAACAACCTGAGCAGAAAGAGCACACCGCGTGGAGGTGTCTGCTAGCCAGCCACAGACACACCTCTGTAGACCCCGATTATCATTGTTCGTCGGCCCCCCAAGTCAGAATTCATACAGAATTAATCAGGATTAAAAAATTGTGTTATTACAAAATGACAGCTGTTAGAGAACATGCTCCCTGAAATCTGGCGGATTGCCAGCTGGCATTGGCGAAAGGTTCGTTCTTTGACCTTTGCTATTATTTATTTCATTTATTTATTTAGCAAATATTTGTTGAGCATCTACTGTGTGCCAGCACTGTTTTAGGCCCTGGAAACACGGTGATGAACATGACAGATGAAGGATCTGTCCTCATGAGGCTTATGTGCAGTGGGAGAAGACCTATAAAACTATCCAACCCTGGATGGAGAAGACTTTTGATCTGAATACTGTTAATACTTTGGTAATAAAGCTCAAACGATACTTTTCTTAGTTGCATTCCACTGTCAGTCCATATGGAGCTGATGTGAAGCTAGAACTCTTTGAGTCTTTTATGTTATAAAAGACAAAAATTATTTTATATTAATGTGTATGGAACTGATTTTTTTATTTAAAAGCTTTTATTTATTTATTTATTTATTTTTAGAGAGAGGGGAAGGGAAAGAGAAAGAGAGGGAAAGAAACATCAATGTGTGGTTGCCTCTCACGCGCCCCACTGGGACCTGGTCTGCAACCCAGGCATGTGCCCTGACTGGGAATCAACCTGCGACCCTTTGGTTCGCAGCCCACACTCAATCCACTGAGCCACATCAGCCAGGGCTGGAACTGATTTTTTAATAGATACTCTTTTTAGAGCAGTTTTAGGTTCACAGCAAAGTTGAGTGGGAAGTACAGAGTTCCCATGTACCCCCGCCCCCCATGTGTACAGCTTCCCCACTATCAACACCCCACACTGGAGTGGCGCGCTTGTTGTAATAAGGGAACTGCATGGACACGTCATTGTCACCCAGAGTCCAGAGTTTACGTTAGGTTTTGCTCTTGGTGCTGTGCATTCTGTGGGTTTTGATGAATGTATAAGGACACATGCATCATTATAGTATCCTGCAGAGTAGTTTCACTGCCCTGAAAATCCTCTGTGCTTTGCCTGCTTATCCTGCCCCACCATCCCAACCCCTGGCAAGCACTGATCTTATACCGACTCCATAGTTGTGCCTTTTCTATGCCATATAGTTGGAGCACCAGTATTTAATATTTGGCTTTCAGATTGGCTTCATTCATTTAATAATATGCACTTACAGGTCCTCTATGTGTTTTGGCTCGAGAGTTAATTTCTTTTTATTTATTTATATTTTTAAAATTCATTATTCTTTAAACTAATTTATTGGGATAATATTTGTTAATAATTATATATTTCTTTTTCCCTCTTTTTTTACAATGCTTCTTTTTTTAATTTTAATTGTTGTTCAAATACAGTTTTCTGCTTTTCCTCCCATCCCAGCCCATTCCCCCAGTCCTCCCCACCTTCCTCCCGTTTCTACTCCCCCCTTGTTTTTGTCCCTGTGTCCTTTCTACTTGTTCCTGCAAACCCTTCCCCTTTTCCCCTGAAATTCCCTCCCCTCTGGTCCCTGTCAGCCTGTCCTCTGTTTCAGTGTCTTTAGTTATATTTTGCTCATTTGTTTGTTTTGTACAATGCTTCTTAAAACACACTTTTTTTATTTTTTTTCAGTGTGTATTTTTTCTTTAATGTGTTGTGAATTCATCAAATATAACCACTTAGGATTGTTTTTACTACCTCTACTAGTATGGACATGTAAATTTGCGGACATTATTTTGAATGTACAGAGTCTCCTTCAGGCAACACACTCACGTGTTTCAGGCCACTGTGACAGGCCACCCGCACGCTGCGTGCGTGCTCACCGCCCGGAGCCTAGTCTCCTTTCGCCACCACATTCAGGGTGGAGCTAAAGTAGGTTTGCAGCTGTGAGCACACAAAACACAGTTTATTCTTGTGCTGTTATTTTTAAATTATTATTTTCCTTAAGACCAACTATTAACCTGCTTTTGCCCCACCCTTTATTTGACTCCCTTAACCCTCTTCATTCACCCCCACTCTTGTCTTTTCCTGGTAACCCCCATACTGTTCTCTGTGCCTGTGAGTTTGTTTGTTCATTTGTTGCTTTCTGTCATGTATCCCACCTACGAGTGAAATCATATGGTGCTTCCTGTCTGACTTATGTCACTTAGCATAATTCTCTCAAGATCAATCCACGTGGTCACAAATGACAGTTTTTCATCCTTTCTTATGGCTGAGTAATATTCCGTTGTATACACACACCACATCTTCTTTATCCAGTCATGCGTTGAAGGACCCTTAGGTTTATCCTTCTTAGTGCTGAATGACAGTCTGTCAAGCAGAGATACTGCAGTACGTCCATCCACCAGCTGCAGGATGTCTCTGTTGCTTCCAAGTTTAGAACTGATTTTTTAACCTCAATGTAAGACTTTATAGCTTTCCTTATTACTTTTAATTTTGTTGATTTCCTCCTATTTTAGGAACTGTTGAGATATTTTTGAATTTTAGTTCTGTTCATGCTATATCCTTGGAAGGTATGCTCATTAAGTTCACAGATGAAACTAACTTGGCGGGAATGGTTATGTTGGCTGAGTATATGGGGAGCCTGTTCAGGTGTGAAGCATGCTGGGACTGGGAGGCAGTGTGGTGGCCAGTGGGACAGGTCTGGTCTGGTTTAGATGGAAGAAGAGGCCTGGGAAGGCAGCGAATGGCCAAGGCAGTGGATTGTCAGGGATGACGCAGTGTCAGGAGGAGCTTACATAAAAATTCCAGGAGACTCTGAATTTTAGAGCAAGAATGTGGCAGGGTTTACTAAGGAGCAAGATGTCCAGGTTTACAGGAAGCTGCTTGGAGCTTAATGGGGTATCTTGTCTTCCTTCCTATGTAGCTTGAGTTTCATGAGACAAGCCTAAGAGATAGAAACTGAGTAAGAAACCACTAAGGCTCATTCTGGGTGCATCAGATACTAAGCTTGGCTGTCAGTACAATTTAATCCAAGACCCGCACCCTGATTTGAGTCCATCTTTGTCAATGACTGACTGAAAAATCAGGGTGTGGTTGGGTCCACAGATGGGCCCCAACCCAGAGGACTGACCTCAGGGATCTGAAGTGGGTACACGAGAAGCAAGGCAGGCTTTGATGGTGGAACCTTTAGCCCAGTCATAGCTAAATGTATTTAATCGAATAGTTGGCTGCTTACCTCAGGAAACTTTCTTCCCTCTCAGCTGTAGGTGCACTGTCCCAGAGAATCCAAACAACCACACACTGCAGTATTGGAAGGACCGCAACATTGTGACAGCAGAAGTCCACTGGGCTAACCTGACCGTTACTGTAAGTCTGCGAGCGGCCCGTCAGTCAAGCTTTGGGACTGCAGGAGTGAGGGGTCTTCTCGGTAGAAGTGGGTAACCCATTAACAAGCACTGCATTTATAGAAATAGAGCTTTTCTATTTTTACTTTTTAACCATTCTTACTGACTTTTTTCCCTTTCGAAATTCCCTTGTACATAAAGAGAAAGATTATCTCCCTTTTTTCTCCTTCATGCAATAGCGACACCCTACCTAGTGAGCCTGCACTCAGGATATGTGGGGATGAAAGCAGGCAGGGCTGGAGGCAGATCCAGGTTTTATGGAGCTTGAAGAACACTCCAATTAGTTACGTCCTCTGTAATGACTGCTAGGGCCCTCCCAGAATCTTGTGTTTGCTGGAGATGGTGCTGGTTTCATTTTAAGAGTGCCTTAGTTGGGACCTAAGTGGTTACCCTACCTGGAAGGGGACTGTGCACGCCAGGGCCCCACAACTGCGTGAAGCCTCATGCTGCTGGCAGCTTGTGCTCTCCAGCAGCCTAGGGGTGGGGGTGGTGGTGACAGTGAGCGGTGGGCTCAAAGGCAGCAGCTAGTCACTCCCTCCTGCCTGCTGTTCGTAACCCGGAGTGTTTGTTCCCCCAGGAATGCCAGGAAATGCATGGAGAGTTCACAGGGTCCGCGTGCAGCCACCATGGACCCTACACTCCCGACGTGCTCTTCTGGTCCTGCATTCTCTTCTTTACCACCTTCATCCTCTCGAGCACCTTAAAGACATTTAAGACAAGCCGCTACTTCCCAACTAGAGTAGGTAGCATGCTCATGCATTCCTTTTGTGTTAGAATTCTAATATAACAGAGCCTGTTCTCAGCCTCCATGCTGCTCGAGGAGTAGAGTGGCAGGTGGAGAGCCCTAATGTCCCGAGGAGCCACACGGTCACGTCTCTTCTGCTGAGGTCCAGCAGACCTTTCCACGGGTGTGTGGTGCGGGATGAGGAGTTGACACATAAATGCTCTTTAATTTAAAAGGGCTAGGTGTGTTTAAGGTGGAGTAGTAGTCTCTACAAGTTATTAAATTTCATTTCTAGAATGCTATTCAGTTTTATTTACAGAATGCAATAGCTACAGCTGGCTCCTTAATGTAGTTAATTCGGATGATCACTTCAGATATGTAGGGGACCCCAAAGTCTCCTCCCAGGGATGGTGCTTGTAACAGCTTATGAAATCACCAGTCACATTGACTCTAGGAGCGAAGATGCTCCTGACCTGGTTTGCATGCTGTTTGAAGCCTCCGTAACCTTTCCCTGTTGCAGGTGGCACTGGCTGTTGTAACCGGTTATGGTAGGGCAGAATTATAGGCCAAGTGTGAAGTATCTGAAAGGGCCATTGCTTTGAAAAGGAGCTCGAACCAGGAGGAAATGGTTTTCAATCAAGCCCATTTGCAGAGCAGAATATATGAATGGGTAGCATGCTCAGTTGATTGGATATTCACTGTACACACACACATGACTAACCACATTCTTAGACTTCATTCAGCCTACGCAGCAGTTAAGGGAGGCACCTACTAAATAAGCTCCAGGTCATTGTTTGTAGTCTGCTAGATAGTGAACAAGTGGCAATTGTGTACTGATTGCTTGCCCAGGTCTGGGTTAAGTGCTGTGGGGGATGCAAAACAAGTTTACAACTCGGTGTCTGCCATTGGATAGGGAGGGGAAACGTGAAACAACCAGGTCCACTTGAGACAGTAGGAAGGAGTTGGATGCCAGCCTGGGATGTAAGCGCCATAGGAGTTCAGAGGAGAGAAGAGCCGCTGGGCTCCAGGACAGTCAGATGGGCAGCATGGTGGGGACAGCTACATGTTCAGGGAATTTATGTAACATTCAGAGGAGAACTGACAAAACCAGGGAGTGGGAGCTAGGAAGCTCAGCTTTCAAAGGAAAGCAGTCAGGTTCAGGTGTTACTGATGCTAACCATGTCTGAAATGCAGTTTGCTCTATCTCTGTTGGAAGTTCAGGTTAAGGCAGGCACTGAGCATTTGAGAGGCATTGTATTTTATTAAAGCTACACTAAAGTATATAGTGGGATAGTCCTCTGAGGAACAAATTGGTGATAGGTGCTATGGAGAAAAATGGTGCAGGAAAGGAGTATAGGAAATGCTGGGGTGGAGGGTGGCGACCAATTGTGAGTAGGGTCATCAGAGAAGATCTTAATGGAGGAGATATCTGAGTGAGGCTGAAGGAGGTAAGGGAGTTACCCAGGAGATTGCTGGAGAAAAAATATTTGAGGTGGAGGGATGAGCAAGTACAAAGACCCTAAGGTTGGAGTGGGTCTGGTGTGTTTAGGAAACGACAGAGTGAGTGAGTGGGAGAGCATTAGGAGCTGGGGTCGGAGAGGCGATGGTACTGGTGTGTGTGGGCCTCATAGGCCAGCAAGCCTTTTGGGGTTTTTTAATCAGTGAAATGAGGAACCATCGCAGGGTTTTGGTGGAGGTATTAACTTGGGTGTGCTAACATATTCTTTTGTTTAAATACGCTTGTATTAATTCAAGTATAAAATTAAAGCATTCTTCTGAGGATTTTTAAAACTTTTACAGTGTTAAATTATTTTCTACTCCATGCAACCTACTCAAACACTTTTCTAATCCTTTTGCATGCCAGGTACGCTCCATGGTGAGTGACTTTGCTGTTTTCCTCACAATCTTCACAATGGTGATTATTGATTTTTTGATTGGAGTCCCATCACCAAAGCTTCAAGTTCCCAGCGTGTTCAAGGTAAGCAGATCTCAGGGTACTTGGCACCCTCATGTAATTCCATAGAATCTGGTCCTGAGGTAATTTCCAAGGCCTCTTTCCACATCCTAAATCGCAAGTTTCGCAGTCCTCCAAATCCGGACCTTACTCTTCGTAACTTACTTTTCAGAAAAGCAAACTCTTCAGGCTTGGCTATGTTCAAGTCAGCAAGGAGCAAACCTAAGTTCATATAACAAGCAAAAAGTATTACTTGTTATCATAGTGCCACTTAACTGGTTTTATTGTTAAGGTTTAAAACAATGGAATATGCACATTTGCATAAAGGCATACCAGTTACTGTGGAAATGTGGGTCTCTGGCACAAGTCTGGTTATCAGCACTTTCACTGAGCACCAGCTGTTTGAGGGAAGGGTGAGAAAGCCGGATGTTGGACCTGGGCCCCTGCCTGAAAGGATCTTGCCAGCTGAGGAGGTGAGCTTCTTGAGGGGCCTTGTCCAGAGTCTGGGGCTCCTGCCAGAGTAACCACAGCATCTCTTCAACCCTATTTCATTGTTTGCATAACTTTCCCTAATCACTAATATTTTTCCAAAAACCTATGTAAAACATAAAATAAATGATCACTGTGTGGTATTTCCGATCTAATTCTGCTTGGAGGCACTAACTGAGTAAACAGAAAAGATGGAAAAGCTGGGCTCAGCTACACGGATCCTCACAGGGTGGGGAGGAGAGAAAAGCTGGCTATGCGCAGTGACTAGGGGGGTGTTCAGAAAATGAGAGGATGGGAGAGGCTGGGAAGGGAGAAAAGACAGGAGTAAAGGCAAGCTGGGACTTGCAAGTGGCCTTTGTCTTCCCTTTCTCTCTCTCAACCTGAAGGAGACTTGAAAATTTTGTATTTTATTTTGGTAAATTTGCTGAAATGCCACCAGTTAGAAACTTATGAATTAAAAAAAAAACACCCGCTTTAAAAATGTAATGCCTCCAAGACCGTGTCATTCCCATCTTTGTGTGAGTGAGTGCACACTCAGCTCTCTCTCTGATACCAGCTCAGGGCAGCCCTGCAGGAGGAATGGGTTTTGTGTAAAGTAAGGAATTTGAGAGCATTAAGCGGTCCTTGAAGTGGATCCCTGATGGGTAGGCTTAAGACAGAAGGCATTGAATTTCTGAAACATCTGGGAAGGAGGTGTCTGGGACAGGGGAGAAAGATGAGAAAGGGAAATGGGAGAACGTCATAGAAAACGTTTTCTGGCTGGCCTTGCTTCTAGGGAGCAGAGAAGAAATTTTCTTCCTGTGCCCTTCCCTGCTACTCCACATGGCTCCAGTGACTGAGCCCCAGCCTGCAGGCCAGTGCCCTTACTAACGGCTTACTGTAGGTCAGGGTTTAGTAAGGTTTTGTGTTGGCCTGACAGTTTGCTTACCACTGAGAACATTATTATTAAGGAGAGTCTATAAACTTTCAGAACTCAACCCGTTCATAATTTGGGACTTGCCGATATTATTGAAGAGTCTTTGAACCCTAGAGTCATGACCAGCATGGAACCAAGTACTTTGGACATAACAGTCTTTACTTGGTTTGTTGAGTTTGGGTCAATTCTGGGCCCATATGTGTTCCTCGCCTTTTATCCTCCATCATTACTTGCCAAACAAGGTGAACTTTTCTTCCTCAGGGTGCTTTCGAAGGGGAGGCAGAGGTTCAGGATCCAGCAGAGTCTGGGTATGTGATGAATGCCCAAACAAGATTTAGGAACAGCGTGGTCTAACAGGGGCATCGGGAGGGTCCTGGATCCAACAAGTCCCCAGGGTCCACACTCTTAAGTTCCTCTCTTAAGTCCCAAGTGCCCAGGCCTCTGTTGCAGTGATGAGGGGAGAAGGACCCTAAATCAATACAAGCTGAGCCCATGAGATTCCGTGCACCTGCCTCTACTTTGCCTTTACTTGCTCTGTAGACACACCTTACATGGAGGAAGAGAGTCAAAGTTATTTATATTTATCTTTAGAAGTTATTAAATTATATTGGACAATAAATTTTGTTGTTAATTACATTTTACTTGAGCTAATGTTGAGATTAAGTTGCTTTCTCTGTACATAGGGGTTTGGGGAGTAGGGGAGGAAGTGAAGAATTAATGAATGTTTCATAAAAAGTTGATAATTGAGCATCGACTCTGAGCAAGGTTGTGGGTTTCCCAACAAGTTGCTGTGCACTGCAGTGCTGCAGAGCAGAGCACAGTGGTGGGCTAGTTCCTGGAGTGTGCGTGAGGAGCAGAGGGGAGTTTTCTGAAATATTAAACAGTATAGAGTAATTATATTGAGTGGAGTGCTTTGGTAGAAAGGAAAAATTAAAGATCCAAGAGTGCGACGAAGTGAAAGTTAGATGTTCTTAAGGTCTTAAGTAAGCGTGAGATTGGGGAGCCAGATGCCGACTTGGACAGGCTGGCTCTGGATGGAGTCAGGCAGAATGCCCGGAGTGAAACTGGAGGTGAGGAAGCACATGCGTGTGCAGGAGAAGATAGGTGGGCGAGGGAAATGCGTGGAAGTCTGTCTTTCAAGTACACAGCGTGCACACTGAAAAGAAAGAGTTGCTGTGTTCCATGGCTTTTTTTTTTAAGGATTCTCATTCAGGAATAAAAAGAATTGTGGATATTGTGATTCAGTTTGATCTGTTTTGCCCAAATGATTATAGTTAGCTTAAAATACACAAAGAAACCTTGCTTTTTCCCTTAGCCAACAAGGGATGATCGCGGGTGGATTATTAGCCCCATTGGCCCCAATCCCTGGTGGACTGTGATAGCCGCGGTCATCCCGGCGCTGCTCTGCACTATCCTAATATTCATGGACCAGCAGATCACCGCCGTCATCATCAACAGGAAGGAGCACAAGCTCAAGGTAACAAGAAGTTCTGACCTGGAAAGACTGATGGCATCCTGTTACATTTGTAAAAAGCTTAGGGTAAATCCATTTAGACCAGGAACTGTAGACCCCGGATAAAAGGAGTCATGGAAAGAGCCCAAAGAGGTTTCTACGGTTTCCCAGTTCCTACAGTAGAACACGATGGTATGACACAAACAAAGCTTGGGCTCCATTAGTCTCCCGTCAGACCTGTGGGGAAGGGAGCAGGCAGAGTTCCTAGTGGTCCTTACACAGTCACATACTCTGGGTCAGGCTTATCTTCCTGAGGTTCAGGTCAGGGCTTGGGCCACTGTGTCCTAGAGGCCAGTAGTCTCCCATTGCTGTCCACTGCTGGGGCTTCCAGACTAAACTGTGAGCCCACGGGTCCTACAGAGGTAGGGAGGTTCCAGTACATGTACTATTGAGCGGCTCCATGCCTTCATCCCTGTCCTTTCCTTACTTAGGAAACATGCAGATTTGGCAAGGATCTAGAAGTGTGTTGTAAGAACCTAGTAAGGACATTTATCTTCAACCCCTATAGTGTCTACCATCTAGAATGGTTAAGATGTGGCTTGATTGCTGGTTACTCTGCCAAGAATGGATCGATCTTTGAATGTGGGAGACTCAGAGTGAGCTCTGGGGGCACTTGAATAAAGAATGGATGTTGGCATGCTTTGGCCAGGCTAAGGTTTCCCTTTTTCCTCTCTGTTCCCTCCAAACAAGGGGTGGGGGGCTGGAATACTCTTAGCTCACTGTTCTATGCCTTACCGATGGTGACAGACACCGTGTTTCCCCACAGAAAGGCTGTGGTTACCACCTGGACCTGCTAATGGTGGCCATCATGCTGGGCGTCTGCTCCATCATGGGCCTGCCCTGGTTTGTGGCTGCAACGGTCCTGTCCATCACACATGTGAACAGCCTCAAACTGGAGTCCGAGTGCTCCGCTCCTGGAGAACAGCCCAAGTTTTTGGGCATCCGAGAACAGAGAGTGACAGGCCTTATGATTTTTGTGCTGATGGGCTGCTCAGTCTTCATGACGGCTATATTAAAGGTAATCAATCATTCATTTACTCGTTAGGTGATATATGGAGTGCCTGCTTTGAAAATAAGGAAGAGCTTATTCAAGTGGCATAAGACAGATAAGATGTATTAAAAAGTTAATTAAGAAAATAAGCATAATAATTAGAGAATATAACTGATAAAAGAAATATATAGTTGTCCACGGTGCTGTAAAGAATTAAGGGGCACCATCTTGGTTAGTGTGGATGGAGAAGTCCTCTCTAAAGGGCTGGTGTCTGAGATGAGATGGAGCCAGCTGTGCCGTGGGCAGTGGGAGATGGCAGGGGGAAGGCAGAAAAGCAGCCTAGAGAGGCCCTGGGGTGGGAAGGGTGATACATGTTCTAGGAAACATCTGGGCCATGTGACTCAAGGATGCTGGGTAAAGACAAAACACGGTGAGGTGAGACTGAAGGGTGAGCGGGGTGCATCCTGCAGGGCCTTGTTGACAATGATAAAGGTAGCCTTTGGAGGTTTTTAACTGGAGAGGGACACAGTCCACTTAGTGTTTTAAAAAGATCACTCTGGCTGATGATTAGAGACTAAGTTTTAAGGTTGGGTTAAAAATAGAAGCAGAGAGACCAGTGAGGCTATTACAGGCAAGAGGCAATGGTGGCTTGGTTAAGGGAGCTGGTAGTAGGGATGGATAAAGACCATGTCTTCTGTATATTTTGAAGGCAAATCCAAAGGTCTTGGTAGGTATCGAATGGGGTGAGGAAAATGGAAAAGTCAAAATGCCTGCTAGGTTTCTCATTTGACCACATGGGTGGAGAGCGATGGCATTCAAGGAGGTGACAATGCCTTGACCATATGCATGGTGTTAGGCCCCAGAGCCTCTTCCATCCTTATCAAGAGGAGTGCTAAACTCTCCTTTCATACAACACTGAGAGTGACGTCATCTAAGACAGAGAAGACTGCATGAAGGAGGAAGTGATTTCGTGAGGGGTGAGGGCTGTGGTCAGATTTTGAGTGCGATATTCAGGAAGCATCTGAGTGAAGAGGCTAGAGGAGGGTTATGGACTAAAATTGTAAATGTGGGGGTCAATAGCACATGGGTGGTATTGAAAGCCAAGGGAGTTGATTAGATCGCTCAGAAACAGAATCTGAGGAGCTCCATAGGTAGAAGGTGGATAGAGGAGAAGACAGCAACAGAGATGCTGAAGGAGCTGCCAGAGGTGGGAGGGAAACCAGGAGGGTGTGGTATCAGGGAAGCCATGCAAGTGGCCTATATCAGGTAGGAGGGATTGGGCAGAAACTATGTAAAGGATGAAGACTAAACAAAGGCCATTGGACTTGGCCACATGGAGGCCTAACGTGACCTGGAAAGGGCAGATACAGTAGAAAAGCAGGGCAGAAGCTGAGTTACAGGGGGCTGAAGAGTAAGTAGCAGGTGAGGAAGTTAAGAGTGTGAGCAGGCAGCTCTTTCAAGAGACTTATCTGTGAAGTAGAATAGAAAAATGGGCAGTGGCTGGTGTGAGATTTGGGGTTAAAAGGGGTATTTTGGAAAGATGGAAGATAAACAGAAGAAAAAAATTGTGTATGTGGGTGGAAGGCCTGCATCTGAGATAAGGAAGGCCCTGTGGCCGTGGCCCCAGCCCCAGCCATCTGGACCACTTATCTCCCTTGCCTCCAGTCCCCCTCTTTTTGGTGAATCTTTGAACACCCCATCCTGTACTACAAACGCTATTTAAGGGTGAGGATTGAGAAGGATGGAAAAGGATTCTGCACTGTATTCCTGTCCCCTTCCTTCCCACTCAATCTCGCCACCTCTCCTCATTCCCCTCACCCACTTCCACTCGCTGTCCCCAGCCCTGCCCTGTCCCTCATCTGGTCTAGGTGCCCGCGGGAGAGCCCAAAGATTGCTGCTCCTCCAGGACTGTAGCCACCAAGTTATGGCGATGGGCGTGGCCCGGCCTTCCTATAGCTCTCTCAGAAGGGTTCTTCAGAAAACCCTTCAGTAGTTCTACAAACCAAGTTCGTGCCAAATTGAGATGTCTACTCACTCTAGAGCTGGAACAACATAAAATCCCATGGGGATTTTCTACTTCTGAGAGGGATTATGTTTGGGAACATTCTTTACCTCCAGAATAAAAGCAAGTTGAGTTTAGTCTTTTTAAAATATATTTTTATTTATCAATTTTTGAGAGGAGGAGAAAGAGATAGAGATTGATTAACTGATTTGTTTTTCCAGTTATTTGTGTAGTCATTGGTTGATTCTTGTATGTGCCCTGACTGGGATAGACCCCGCAACCTTGGTTTATCACGACAGTGTTCTAACCAACTCAGCTACCTGGCCAGGGCGAGTTTAGTCTTCAGCTGTGAGACTTCCCTTGTCTTGGTTCTATACGTCTCATTTTCTTAACTCATAGAGATGGTCTAAAAATTACCTGGATTAATAAATGTGATCTGAGAGGTGTGTATGTGTATACTTAAGTGCAATATAATAATGTTAATATTTCTCCCCAATCATTCCTTCTATGATAAGACACTGTACCTCTCCACTCTTGCCCTCAAGGCTTATTAGCAAAAAAGGAAACTTTTAAAGTCCATGTTAAAATGCGTCAAATCCCTGAGGAGATGATTGTGTGATTACAAAATGTTTAAAAGGTGCCTGTTTTAACTCAATTGAAAAGTGGGCGTAAGACCTGAATAGACACCTCTCCAAAGAGGACATACAGGTGGCCAATAAACATATTAAAAAATGCTCGACGTCATTAATCATCAGAGAAATGCAAGTCAAAACCACAATGAAATACCACCTTCCACCTGTCAGAAAACTGTCATAATTAAGTCAACAAACAACAAGTGCTGGCGAGGATGTGGACGGAAGGAACCGTCGTGCACTGTTGGTGGGGATGCAGACCAGTGCAGCCACCATGGAAAACAGTGTGGAGGTTCCTGAAAAAATTAAAAATGGAACTGCCTTATGATCCAGGGATTCCACTTCTGGGTATATATCCAAAGAAAGCCAAAACGCTAATTTGGAAGAATATATGCACCCCATGCTCACTGCAGCATCATTTACAATGTAGAAGCCGAGACATAGAAGCAACCCAAGTGCCCACTGATAGACAAGTGGATAAAGCAGCTGTGGTGCCTGTATACAGTGGAACACCACTCAGCCATGTAAAGGAATGAAATCTTACTGGTTGCAACAGCGTGGGTAGACTTAGGGAATATTATGCTAAGTGAAATAAGCCAAAGACAAATACCATATGATCTCACTTATATGTGGACAAAACAACAAAACAAATGAACAAACAAAACAGAAACAGACTTATACATAAATTAACAAACTGATGGGGGCAGCGGGGAGGGGTGTTGGGGGACAGGGTAAAACAGGTGTTGGGATTAAGAAGGACTAATTGGTAGGTACAAAACAGGCATGAGGATGTAAGATAAAGTATAGGGAACATAGTTAATAATATTGTAATAACTATCTATGGTGCCAGGTGGGCACTTAAATGATCAGAGGGAACACTTTGTAACCTATATGAACGTCTACCTGCTGTCTTATACACCTGAAACTAATACAAAGTGTTGAATGCAAACTGTAATCAAAAAATAAAATGAGGTATCGGTTTTGTAAAAGAGGGACATGTGTGTCCAGTAATGAACTGTCAGAAAGAGAAACTGAGAAAACAACCCAAGTGTCCATCAACAGATGAGTGGATAAAAAAGTGGTGGTGCAATAGAATGTTACTCAGCCATAAAAACAAATGAAATCTTACTATTTGCGACAACATGGATGGACATAGAGGATATTATGCTAAGGAAAATAAGTCAGAAAAAGACTAAACAATGTGATTTTGCTTATATATAAAATCTAAAGAACAAAATAAGCAAGCAAACAAAACAGAAGTAGACTCATAGATACAGAGAACAAACTGAGGGTTGCCAGATGGGAGAAAGGTTGAGGGGCTGGGAGAAAAAGGTACAGGGATTAGGGGTGTCCAACCTTTTGGTTTCTCTGGGCCACACTGGAGGAAGAAGAGTTATTTTGGGCCACACATTAAATACACAAACACTAATGAAAACTGATGAGCAAGAAAACCCTTTTAAGTAAATTTATGATTTTGTGTTGGACCTCATTCATAGCCACTGCTGGCCTGCGTGTGGCCCATGGGTTGGACACTCCTGGGAGATGTGCTAAATGACAGTTACAAAACAGTTACAGGGATCTAGGGTACAGCACAGGGGATATAGTCAATAATGTTGTAATAACCATGTATGGTGCTGGGTGGGTACTAGACTTATTGGGGGATCACCTCATAAATTACATAATTGTCTAACCACTATGCTGTGCATCTGAGACAAATATAAAATAATATTGAGGCCAGGCTTGTGTAGCTCAATGGATTGAGCGCAGACTTGTGAACCAAAGGGTTTGCTGGTTCAATTCCCAGTCAGAGCACATGCCTGGGTTGTGGGCCAGGTCCCCAGTAGGGAGCGTGCAGGAGGCAACCAATTGATGTTTCTCTTTCCTCTTTTTCTCCTTCCCTTCCCCTCTCTCTAAAAATAAATGAATAAAATCTTTTAAAAATAATAAAATAAAATAAAATAATATTGAATGCTAGCTATAATTGAAGAATAACATTTAAAAAATGAAAAAAAAATACACCTTTCTTCTCTTGCTAGTAAAAAAAGGGTGTGTGTGTGTGTGTGTGTGTGTGTGTATCCCCACAGAGGAGGAAGAGCCAGATAGGGGTAAAACATGAAGCCTGTGATTTAACTAGGACCAGATCACACTTACGTGTAATCATTTCATTTTAGAGCAAAATGATTTTTATCATACTGTTTTGCTTCTACTTCTGAATCATGAAAAGGCAGCAGAAACTAATACAATGTTTTAAAGATTTTTTTAAAAGATTTTATTTACTTATTTTTAGAGGGGAAGGAAGGGAGAAAGAGAGAAACATCAATGTGTGGTTGCCTCTCACGTGGCCCCCACTGGGGATGTGGCCTGCAACCCAGGCATGTGCCCTGACTGGGAATCGAACCTGCGATGCTTTGGTTCACAGCCCATGCTCAATCCACTGAGCTACGCCAGCCAGGGCAGAAACTAATACAATGTTTATGATGTGATTTTGTGAGTTCCATCTTTTTTTATTTTAAAAAAATTATTTATTTTTAGAGAAAGGAGAAGGACAGGAGAGAAACATTAATGTGTGAGAGAAATATCGATTGGCTGCCTCTTGCACACTCCCAAGGGGAGGCCTGGCCTGCAACCCAGGCATGGACTTGACCAGGAATCAAACCTGCGACCTCCCACTTTGGTGGGACAAAGATTAACCTACTGAGCCATGCCAGTCAGGGTGTGACTTCCTTCTTGGAGATGTAGAAGTTGTTATAGTCTCAAGTGTGTTGATACCAAGTGTGATGATCTCTGGTCTTTCTGCCCTTTGCCTTCAGTTCATCCCGATGCCGGTGCTCTACGGGGTCTTCCTCTACATGGGAGTGTCTTCACTGCAGGGGATTCAGGTACTGCAATGCCCAGCCAGGGCAGTGTCTTCTCCCTGTGAGCATGCTTGTCTCGTCCTGCCTGGGGTGGGACCACTCTAGCACAAGCTAGTTCTTGAGAAACCTTTTCCTAGTCTTGCTGGTTAAGCTATTTTAGACGTTTGTTTGGACATTGGGCAAATATAGCCATGTTGGCATAAGGTTACAGGGACTTACAGGGTAGCCTGCCTCAATGTTATGGTTCCAGCCATTTGTTATTTTTTTCAACAATTTATTAGACACATTAAATACTAGGTGCTTCGTCAGATGCTGATAATCTTAGATGTGAAATGTTGGTCAAGAACCAGACTGGCTTCCACACAGGGGAGGTGCTAGTTTTAGTGCCAGGCTAGAGTGTGAGAGAGGGGCCCTAACTGGGGTGTGTTGGTGAAGAGATCGGGGAGCAGTGGGAGCTGCTCCAGGGAAGCCCGTGGTACTTTCTGGCACACTCTGCTGTTTCCCATCTACCAGCCCGGTACTCTGAGTCCTTTGAACAGAGAAACTCAGGAGCTCGTCACTGATTACTTGGGTACCCCAGATGATATCAAGACTTAGCAGCTTCTACTGTTGATGGCTGGTTCCTCTTTGTTTTTGTGGAATGTCCAGTGGCCATCCTTGTACACCAAGTTGTAATGTGACTCTGGATGGCTCATTTAATCTCTTTAGGCCTGTTTTTCATTTTATAGAAGGAAGGTCATATTTTCTGTCTCTGGAATGTTATGAGGTTTCATCTTATGTTTTTACTATAAATATTGATGAGAATCTCCAAACTCTTTAATAACCAGGAAGAGATTTGGTTTTGATAACAGAAAGATACAATTGCCTTATTTTATTTTCAACAATCCCTAAGAAAGAGCTCTCTCAGGAGCCACAGTGTGGGATAGAAAAGAGAAATTTCAACCTAGAATTTAAAAAGATGAATTTTAAAAGTGACTTGTCTCTTACCAACCTTTGCCAAATTACCTGTTCTCTCTGAGACGCAGTCTGCATTTCTGTCTAGTGGAAGTGGTGTTGCCCGCCTTTCAGAGCGGGTGATGTGAGAGACACAAAGGGACCCAACAAGTTTCTGACCCAGAGAAACTTCCTGAAAATAAGTTTCCAGTCCCCTTCTTTCAGTTCTTTGATCGTCTGAAGCTCTTTGGGATGCCTGCGAAGCACCAGCCAGATTTCATTTACCTTCGGCACGTGCCGCTACGCAAAGTGCACCTCTTCACCCTCATCCAGCTGACCTGCCTTGTGCTGCTCTGGGTCATCAAGGCATCTCCAGCTGCCATCGTCTTCCCAATGATGGTGAGTTTTAAAAAATTATTATATTTTAAATTGTGGTAAAATATACATAACATAAAATTTACCATCTTAACAATTTTTTAAAGGTTTTATTTATTTATTTTTATAGAGGGGAAGGGAGGGAGAAAGAGAGGGAGAGAAACATTGATGTGTGGTTGCCTCTTGTGCGCCCTCTACTGGGGACCTGGCCCTCAACCCAGGTATGTGTCCTGACAGGGGATCAAACTGTGACGGTTTGGTTCACAGGCTGGTGCTCAATCCACTGAGCCACATCAGCCAGGGTCCATCTTAACCATTTTTAAGTGTATAGTTCAGTGGCATTAAGTGCATATATATTGCCCTCATCCATCTCCAGAACTTTTTTACCTTGTAAAACTGAAGCTCTGTACCTGTTAAACAGTAACTCCCCATTCCCTCCTCTCACCTGCCCCTGGAAACCCCCTTAACCCCCTTCTACTTTCTGACTGTGAATTTGACTGCTCTAGGCTCCTCATGTGAGTGGAATCTTGTAGTATTTGTCCTTTTGTGATTTGCTTATTTTGCTTAGCAAAATATCTTCAGGGTTCACCCATGTTGTAATATGTGTCAGAATTTCCTTCCTTCCTTTCTAAATGATGAATAATATTCCATTATCTATATAAACCACAGTTCGTGTATTCATTTATTGATAGGCACTTGAATTCTTACACCTTTTGGCCATCGAGACTAATGCTTTGACTGTGAGTAGTGGCAACAGGAAACAAATGCCTGTTTGTGTCCCTGCCTTCAGTTCTTTTGGGTAAATACCAAGAAGTGGGATTTCCAGGTCATATACTTCCATTTTTAATTTTTTGAGGACCTGTTATACTGGCTTTCATAGTGGTTGCACCATTTTATATTTTTACATTTCTACCAGCAGTGCACAGCATTCCAATTTCTCCACATCTTTGCCAACACTTATTTTCTGGTGGGTTTTTTTTGTTTGTTTGTTTGTTTATAGCCATCCTAGTGGGTACGAAATGGTATCTCATTCTGGCTTTGATTTCCATATCCCTAATGGTGAGTGATGTTGAGCATCTTTTCATGTGCTTATTGACTATTATGGGCTATTTGTATATCTTCTTTGGAGAAATGTCTATTCAAGTCCTTTGCCCATTTTAAAATCGGGTTGATTTTTTTTGTTGTTGGGTTTTAGTTCTTTATAAAGTCTGGATATTGATCCCTGACTGATGAGGAAGTTTTGTTTTTGGTTGGGATTGTAGGACCAGTGTTGTTTGGGGGACCTCGAGGGGTAGGTACATGTGTGTAGCAGGTTGCCACGTTTGTTTTCAAGGCTGCCAGTCTGCCTGTCCCTTCTTCCTCCCTTGCTCCCCACCCCTGACTTCTTTTGCTAATCATCTGATGAGGAAAGGATTCTTCATGTTTGCAATAATTTGCATATTACTTCAAAGCATTAGAGTTCTAATTTAGAACTTACTGCAATCAGAAGTGCTGAAAATGGCAGAAATGCACTGTTTTGAGCCGCTGGGAGAGAGAAAGAGGCCGCTCCAGCACTGAGTGACTGGGACATTCTGACCTCCTTTCTAGCGGGAAGGAGACTAGGGACGCTGGCCGGTGTGTGGTGCAACAGGTGACCAGCTGCTTTCTAAATCTGGGGTGGGTGATGAAATTCTTGCCACCTCACTGTTTCATCGCCTCCTCTTGATGCCTTCCTCTCTCTGCCTCACTCTGTTTCATGTAAAAGCTGAGAATTCAGTGGGCTGTTTGCAAGTTACCTACAGGGTGGGCCTCCAGGGAGAAAAGGCAGTGAGTGTAATGCTTGGAACTTGTTCACGTGCTTTAGAACTCTGTCTTACAGGGAGAACATTCAAGGCTGAGGAAACAGGAGTAGGGGCTCCTTTTCCCTAGCCTCCTGGATATGTACCCTCCGGATGGGTTTCTCAGTTTTGCCAGAATATCTATAGGTTTCTGCATTTGAGTGTTATGTTCAGGAGTTGAGCGTTTAGTTAAAAATTAGCAAATTCTTGACAACTTCTGGAAGTGATACTACCAATTTTGGATCGATGGGAAAATAGTAATTGAACTTTAGGGGAAATGTGGTTGAATTTAACAAGCCCGATTGCATTACTCGTTGTTCAGTCACCAGAGGTAGCTGGTAAACACTAGTCAATCCAGGCAGGTCATTATGAGTTACTTGTTCTCCTTTGGCTAACATGGCCCTTTTCAGGGGAAAAGGAGCAGCGTGATTTGCTGTCAGATTTTAGGCAAGTTATTCTCTCTCCTTGGGCCTCAGCTTTCCATTTATAAAATGGTTATCAGACCATGCCAGAGGGCAGAGACAAAAGCACTACAGACCCGTGATGCAGGCATAAAGCAAGGATTTTGTGGGGAAATGTATAGGCAAAGGATTGGTGGGAATCTAGATGGTCCTTCCAGGCCCCCTCCCCGAGTGGGGAGGTGTGCTCAGGCTGGGTGTGACTGGCCCACCGTGGCCGAGCTCCTGCGAAGGCTGTCCACCCCTGGATCCCTCCAGTGGGGCCCCAGCCGGGGAAGGGCAGTTCTTAGGGCCATCTGCAAATGAAGGGTTTTCTCTTTTTAATGAAAGAATTAAGTCAGTTACACTCTAAGTGATGGGATTGTTATGAAAGATAAGTAAAATATTGTGTCTAAAATATCTTAGTATATGGTAGAAAGAGGGCAGTCAACAAAAGGCAAGTATAATGATTATTATCAGTTTGATTTTGCATGAAATGTCTTGGTCTGCTGTGAAAATAAGATTTTGCTTTTCACTCCAGGAAACAAGGCCCTTTAATTCACTTTATTTATTTTTCAGGTTTTGGCCTTGGTCTTCGTCAGAAAAGTCATGGATCTCTGTTTCTCTAAGCGAGAGCTGAGCTGGCTGGATGATCTCATGCCTGAAAGCAAGAAGAAGAAGTTGGATGATGCCAAAAAGAAGGCCAAGGAGGAAGAGGTCATAGCTCTTGCACCAACTGTATGCTCTGGGGCAGCCTCGAGTTACAGTGCATAGGAAAGGCCCCAGTAAAAGTCAGCATGTCTGGAATCCCCAGGGTTACCTTTGGGAGCTGGGAAGATTCCTCCAAAGGTGTTCTCAGCTGAGGAAAGATTAAGTATCCTTGTCCCTGCCTGTCCTTCATTTTTGGATTTGATAACCAGTTGTTTTCTCTGTTTGTCTACAGTCTACTCACCAGGTTCACACTTAGAATATGAACATAGAATATGCTCTTATTATCAGATCTGTTGGTTCATGTTCTCCCAAAAGGTCTAATTTGACAAGTATACAAAACGTATTATTTCTGAGAGTTCGTTATGTACCTGATTGCAGATGATGTTGTGGTTGGCACGGTACAAAGATAACTTGCATAGGACTTTCTGTCTTTCCTCGTTTCCCTTGGCACTTGGCATCTGCCATCCACACAGTGAGCCCTCAGTTAGTTGCCTATATGTGCAAAGAACAGATGTGTAGCAAAAAGAAAATACCAGACCAAGAACTGAATGAGCCGGAAAGTGTTTCCAAGTACAGTTAGTGCCTGAAGTAGTGTCCTTTGCAATGCATTTTAAAGGACGTTGTTTTCTAATCTCTTGAACTTTAAAAATCTTGAATTTTTCCAGTTTTATTGAGATAAAATGAACATATAGCATTGTATAAGTTTTAGGCATACTACATAATGATTTGATATATGTATTGCAAAACGATTACTGCAGTAGGGTTAGTTAACACATCCATCACTTCATGTGGTCACACTTATTTTTGTGTTATGAACTTTTAAATCTACTCTTTTCACAATTTTAAAATATATAATACAGTATAGTCACCATGCTGTACATTATATCCCCATAATTTATTCATCTTGTAACTGAAAGTTTGTACCCTTTGACTACCTTTATTCATTTCCCCCATCCTCCCCACCCCTGGTAACCACCAATCTGTTGTTTCTATGACTTCAGTGCTTTTAGATTCCACATGTAAGTGCGATTATACAGTGTTTGTGTTTCTCTGTCTGACTTACTTCACTTAGCACAATGCCCTCAAGATTTGTTCATGTTGTTGCAAATGGCAGGATTTCCCTTTATCTGGCTGAGTAATATTTCAGTGTGTGTGTGTTTGTGTGTGTGTGTAATAATGTTCTTTATCCATTCATCTATTGATGGACACTTAGGTTGTTTCCATGTCTTGGCTATTGTAAATAATGCTGCAATGAACTTAGGGGTGCAGTTATCTCTTTGAGATAGTGACTTCATTTCTTTTGGCTGTATGCTCAGAAGTGGAACTGCTGGATCATACAGTGGTTCTATTTTTAATTTTTTGAGGAACCTCCATACTGTTTTCTATAGTGGCTGTACAATTCACATTCCCATCAACAGTGTACAAGGGTTCCCTTTTTTCATATCCTTTTTTAAAGTTGAGTCTTTCTTTTTTTAAAGATTTTATTTATTTTTAGAGAGAAGAGAAGGGAAGGAGAAAGAGAGGGACAGAAATATCAATGTGTGGTTGCCTCTCACGTGTCCCCAACTGGGGACCTGGCCTGCAACCCAGGCATGTGCCCTGACTGGGAATTGAATCAGTGGCCCTCTGATTCACAGGCCCGCACCCAGTTCACTGGGCTGTGCCAGCCAGGGTCTTTTTTTCACATCCTTGCCAGCACTTGTCATCTCCTGTCTTTTTGATAATAGCCCTTTTAACAGGTGTGAGGAGATATTTTACTGTGGCTTTGATTTGCCTTTCCCTGATGATTTGGGATGTTGAGCCACTTTTCATATACCTGTTGGTCTTTGTATGTCTTCTTTGGAAAAATGTCTATTCAGGTCCTTTGCCTATTTTTTAAATTGGATTATTTAGTTTTTGTTTTTTGCTATTGAGTTGTATGTGTTCCTTATGTATTTTTATATTAACTCCTTATCAGACATATGGTTTGTAAATATTTTCTCCCACTTGTTGCCTTTTCATTTTGTCGATCGTTTATTTTGCTGTGCAGAAGCTTTTTGTTTGATGTAGTTCCACTTGTTTATTTTCACTTCTGTTGCTTGTACTTTTGGGGTCATATCCACGTCTGTGCCAAGAACAATGTCAAAGAGCTTTTTCTCTATATTTCCTTCTAGGAGTTTTATTGTTTCACATTTTACATTTAAGTCTTTAATCCATTTTGAGTTAACTTTTGTGAATAGTGTAAGGCAGAGGTCTGGTTTCCTTCTTTTGCATGTGAATATCCAGTTTCCCCAGTGGCATTTATTAAAGAGATTATCCTTTCTCCACTGAGTATTCTTGGCTGCCTTGTCAAGTGCTAGGTGACCGTATATGCGTGGATTTATTTCTGGCTCCTGATTCTATTCCATTGGTCTATTTTGTATTACTAAATAAGTTTACCAATTATAAGCACAAAAGCAATGGAAGAAAACTTTAAAGAGAGGACTGATAGAATTCACTACATGAAATGTAAAGCTTTCAGGCATCCAAAAACTTTATAAACAAAATTTTAAATTATATATATGTATAATATGTGTGTGTGTATATATAGATATAAATACACACACCTATTTATTTATTTACTTACATAAAATTTTGGATAGTGATGTCTTTTAAGAAGAAAATAAAGGGTTGAGGAAGTGACTTTGTTCAGGGTGATCAGTGATGGGTCCTCTAAGGAGACATCTCAGCAGAAACCTGAAGTCAAGGGCAGGTCATGAGAACATCTGGTAGCAGGAACATTCCAGGCCAGGGGAAGAGCACATGTGAAGGTCTGAAGGCAGGATGAGCTTGGTATGCTGGAAGAACATAAAGTCAGTGATGCTGGAAGGGGGAGAGAGGTAGCCAGAGATGAGTTAGAAATCTGTGGTAATAGTTTAGCCACGAGGTGATGGTGGCTTAGGCTAAGGGAGAGTTGGTGAAAATGGCTGGATTTGGGACTTATTTTGAAGATAGAAGTTTTGCTAATTATAGTGAGGATGGGTGAGAGAGAAGTTGAGGACAACACTTGGATATGGGAGTGAACAATGAGATGGATGGTTGTGCTGTTTATTAAGATGGGGAAGACCTAACAGCGCATTTGGGAGGGAAATCAAGAGATGTCTTTTGGATGTTAAGTATAAGGTGGTTAGTAAACATCATATCACACTACTTTCTATATTGTACTTACTTCTAAGAAAATGCTTTATAAAATGATTTTTAAAACTAAATCAAATTAAAAAATGAAGATTTCACCCCAAAATTTCATGTCAGCATTCAACATTTATGGTCATTTCTTTATGTTCTCTCTCTCTCTTTGTTTTTGTTTTGTTTTGTTTTTAGATTTTATTTATTTTTAGAGAGAGGGGAAGGGAGACAAAAAGAGAGGGAGAGAAACCTCGATGTGTTTCCCTCGAGGGAGAGAAAACATCGATCGGTTGCCTCTCACACCCCCCCACCCGGGTACCTGGCCTGTAACCCAGGCATGTGTCCCGACTGGGAGTCAAACTGGCGACATTTTGGTTTGACAGATGACACCCAACCCACTGAGCCACACCAGTCAGGGCTCTTTATGTTATCTTTAAATCCTTAACAAAGTTTTCACATAGGTGTAATAATTGTATATTTGGGGGGCTATATATATTCTGATTTTTCCTCCTTAACTTCATTTCATGACACTTTCATGTTTCTACGTGTCTATACAATAAATAATGATATTTATTCTCATAATGGCTGCATAATATTCTATATTATCATAATTAATCTAAACATTCTCCCTTTATTAAAGTTTATAGATGTTTTAGGTTTTATTATTAATTATACTAATTTGAGCATCTTTGTAAATATTTTTCTCTATAATTATTTCCTTTGTACTAATGGAATTATTTCTTTTTCTTCTTTTTTTTTAAACATACCTCTTTGGTATGAGGATTATTATTTTTTAAAAATATTTTATTTATTTATTTTTTAGAGAGGGAAGGGAGGGAGATAGAGAGAGAGAGAGAAACATCAATGTGCGGTTGCTGGGGGTTATGGCCTGCAACCCAGGAATGTACCCTGGCTGGGAATCGAACCTGGGACACTTTGGTTCCCAGCCCGCGCTCAATCCACTGAGATACGCCAGCCAGGGCTAATGGAATTATTTCTAAGGAAACATTTTATTATGGAACATTTGAAATGAACACAAAAGCAGAAAGAATATTCGGTATTCATATTTCCCCCAATTGCCTTATTTTTATTTTTTGATAGTATGGTTGACTCGGGATCCAGATATGATCCATATATTGCCATTGGTTGATATGTTTCTTAAATCTCTTTAGGAGTTCCCCTTCTATCTTTTTAAATTTTTGTTGAAAAATCTGGGTCTTTGACCTATAGGGTTTCCCACCGTTTGGGTTTTACTAAATGTGCCCCTTGGTGTCATTTAACCTGTTCTTCTTCCCCCTGTGTTTCCAGTACATTGGTAGTTGGGTCTAGATTCAGGATTTAAAAGAAATACCATTCCATAGGTATGAACACTCAGTTGTCTCTCTTTTTGTGATGAATTAAATGTAGGAAAGAGCATAATTATACTTTTTTATTTAAAAATGTGAGAAAAATTTGATAGAAATTGTGGTGATAGAAAAAAAACAGGCTGGTGTTGACTTAGGGTTTAACTCAGTCCATGATATAATTACGTCTCCTTTTCTTCCAGGAGGCTGAGAAAATGTTAGAAATAGGGGGAGACAAGTTCCCCTTAGAGAGCAGGAAGTTACTAAGCAGTCCTGGAAAGAACAACAGTTTCAGGTAAAATTCTCACAACACCAAGGAGTTGACTGTTTTGGTTATTCCGTAAATGCCTGACTTCGTGTGTGTGTCGGGTGAGGGGGTCACGACTGCAGCTGCTGGTATAAAGGGTGAATAGTCCGCCTTCCAGTTCCAACGTGTGAGGACACCGTTTCCTTTCACTGTTTAGTGCCAGCCACAGGCAAGGCACTGGTCCAGTGCTGGGGATCACAAGGTGAGCCCATGCACTGAGTGTCTTCTCTGTGACAGGACTGTGCTGGAAGATTTACTCTGTGCTCTCATTTAATCTTTACAATAATGTTCTGATATAAGCCTCACTACCCACATTTGTTCAGTGAGGAAACTGAGGCTCGAACGGTTTTAGGTAATTTGCTGGAGGTCATAATGCTGCTAAATAGAAAGTTTAAGATTTAAACCCTAGTCTGTGTGTTCCTCAAACCAGGGCTGCTTCTGCCTTTCTCTGCTACCTTCCAAATATGAATAGGGTCCATGATCACTGTTTTCAGAAAGTGGCCATGAGACCCCCGAGCTTGGGCAAGCCTTTGGGGACAGGCAGCCCATTCCAGCGTGGCTCTGGCGCCCACAGTCCCATGAGCCAAGGGGGAACTGAACTGGGAGCACAGAATTCCTTACTTCTTTCCGCCAGTGGGTTCGGCCCCTTTCTCTTCTGAAGCTCTTGCTTGCCCCAAGTCACAGGAAGCTTCATTTGTCCCTTTGTGGCATCATTCCTGGCACTGCGTTTCTGCTTGATCAGAGATACACACGAGCAGAAAGAAGCCCAGAGGTCAAGAGAGGGCAGAAGAGGAGGAGAGGGGATCTCAGTCATCTGACTCCTGGATAATTCATTGCTGAATCATTGAATTGCTTGTGGTTTATACTGAGATGGAAGTGAGGAAGGTCTTTTCTTTGAACATTTAAAAAATTTTGATGGATGTATGCATTGTGAAATGATTACTGCAGTCGAACTAATAACATATCCATCACCTCCTGTAGTCACCAGTCTTTTCTTTTTTTGTGGCAAGAACACTTGGGATGCACTTTCTTAGCGAATTTCAAGTGTACAATACTTTATTATTAACCATGGTCAGCATGCTGTTCACAGGTCTTCAGAATTCATTAACTGGAAGTTTGTACCCTTTGATTACCTCCTTCCCCCTGCCCCTCGCCCAGCCTCTGCACCATTCTACTCTCTGTTACTATGAGTTTGACTTTTTGTTTTTCAAACTGACCCCAGAAGAAATGGAATCTTCGGACCTTACTAAGCTTTCTACAGGGTGTACTAGAAGGAGCCACAGGCCTTGAATTCTCTGGCAGCAAAGTAGGAGCAATGTTCCTCCTTTACTAGGATGCTTGCTGCCTGCTCTCCTGGCCTTTTAGAAGGAGGCAGCCTGGCTCACAGAAAACTTCAGAGTACTCTGGGGCCCTAGACAACCAAGGACTGGGACTCAAGGTCTCGATGCTCCGCTTACTGATGTTTCTCCTTGGACAGTCACTTAGCCCTGGGAACTGTGGTTTCTGCACCTTCCAATGAGGATGTTGGTCATCTCTGAATCTGTGATAGTTGAGATAATATACTGTTAAAGTCCTTTGTTAACTACAAACATAAAACATTTGGCCGTGTCATTGAGGAAATGAATGAAGATTGTTTAGCCCCGTACTTGGCACACAGTGAGCGCTCAGTAGTGGGAGGTCCTGATGCTACCACTGTTGGCATCTCGACGCCGCCCTCAGCATCCCCAGGGTGGCCTCCGGAAGGAGCGCAGAATTGTGGGGGCAGGGCCGGTTGCCACCTGGAACATCAGCCCAGCCCTTAGCACCCTGTGGGTCACCTTGCCTCTCTCCATTCCGCCCATCTGGCTCCCAGCACTCCTGAGAGACGTTAGCTGGGCTCCTTCAGGCCTTCTGTTGGGGGGTGGTCGTCATAGACGGAGGTCTGGATTTTATTGTTACGTCTGGTGTTTACTGTCCAACATATTCATTTCAGATGTGACCCCTCTGAGATCAATATATCTGACGAAATGCCTAAAACCACAGTCTGGAAAGCTCTCAGTATGAATTCTGGGACTACAAAGGAAAAGAGGTAAAGAGAACTATAATGCTTTTTATTTATTTCTGGCTTTAAAAAATAATAATTGTGTTGAAAGTAAAAGATATTTTAGCTGTGAAATTGAATTTGTCTAATAAATATCCCTTCCAGGACTGCTACTAATCTCACGAGAATAACTGTTAGCCTAAGGAAAGTAAAAATGTTTTCTAACTATTTAAACAGATACGCTGTTTTGAGCTGCCCATTTATACAGGTCCCAAGTCAAGACGGAATTATTTGGAGATGTAAATTTATTTTGTCTATGTGTTCCCTTAATCTTCTGGCTAGTCCCCATTTCGAAACCTACAGAGCATTTCCGCTTCCTGCAACCACACAACCTGGGGAGCCGCTAGAATACTCAGATCATGTTGATAGTATTGACACAATTCCACCATGAGAATTTTTGCCAAGCAAAGATTTTGAAATATTAAATTGCAACTGTTTTCGTGTTTTGGAAGCTAAATTCTGTGCACTGTTTGTCAGTAGCGCAGATCACACTTAATCAGGGTCAGGCCGAAAGTGGAAGAACGTGAGGCATCGTTGCCCGCAGGGAGGCAGGCTGTGCACCCAAATTGAGTAATTTCGTCCCAACGCCATTGAAGTTTAGCTGAGCAGATAACTGAAGGGAAAATCTTAGATTTTATTAAAGGCAACTTCTCTAGTTAAAAATAAAAAAGGAGTAGGCTGGAAATGAGGAGACCTATCTTAGTTATTAATTCTACGCATAATCAGGCAGGCCACTGTGTCTAGCCCTCAGCTGACTTAGCAGGAAAATGGGGATAAAACCAACAGCCTCTGTCATAAAGCTGCTCTGAGGAGAAACTGGTTATTTCTTCATCGAATGGGTTAAAATAATTCTGTGCTGAATGTGAGTGAAATATAGAATCTTGTTTCCTTCAGAGGAAAATCCAAGCAGCTGTTGAAACGTATAACACACAGGGTTATTTTTAGTTGAGAACTAGTCTACTTGTAAATGAACTTAAAATATAGCCAGATCCAAATGGTGGTGACATCTTCAAAGTATTGTGTTAAAAGCAGGAATGAATCATGTGTTCCCTTTTTGTCTAATTGTAACACTTCTATTCAGTCTCTTCAACTAAAAGTCTTTGCTGGGATGGAAGATTTGGGCCGCGAGGTGCCTCAGGGAAGTTCTGGTTACAGAGAAGATGGCAAATCTCTCAGAGGAGGAGCAAGACCAAGTCTGGTCCTGTCCTCGGTCATGTCAAAGCCGGGCCGACGCATTCAGTCATTCGTGGTGTGCACCGGAGGGCACCCAGCCACCCCATGCCAGCAGCCAGACGGGAACGTGGAAGCAGAAGGCCACCTCCCATTGGTAGTTCTCCTCTTCCTTGTCTGTCTCTTCAGAACTGCCACCATTGAAGACCCAGCGTCCCATTTTCCAGACATTTTCTCTGAAACTCTCTGCTGGCCTGCCAAGCCATGTGGATCCATTCTGCCATTGAGGATTCCTTCAGCAAGGTTCCCCTTTCTAAAGGATGGGGAAGGGGAGTGGGAGCAGAGAGCAGGGGAAGGCTCTCCAGCCCCGTAGGATCTGTAGGCTCCTAGGCAGCTGTGGACCTTGGCCAAATTGCCGGCTCCGGGAGACGCTGGTCAGACTCAGAGGCTGTCAGGAAGGTCAGCCACCTGGGCATTGGCAGTTCCTGTCACCGCGGCCAGAAGACACCTGTGACCTGGGTGCATCTTCATTGTTCCCCAGCAGCAGACTGCATGACTCAGCAAGATCCCTGGATGCCGAAAGGGCCGGGAGGAAGCTGTTCGGCTCAGACAGGAAAAGGCTCGGAGGGAAATCAGTGATGCTAAGTGAGGACGAGTAGCTTCTCTTGGTTTCACCGAGGATAGAGTAAGAGACTGAACTTAAATTGCTACAAAAGGAATTAGTTTAGACACTAGGCAGGACTTCGTAGGCTAAAAATTTGTCATAGTGTCTGCTTTCTAGATATTTGAGAAAGGTTTGGTGATTGTTGTTTGTGAGTAGAAAGGGAGACAAGGTGTTTTCATTGGCCATGTTGTGGAAACATCCGTGTCTTGCTGCTGTCTCTGGAGGACGCATTTATTTCCATTCCTGGAGATGTCCAAGTGCTTATGTAATGTCTCCTTAGCTGCCTTAGTAGCAAACCATCGTCGACTCAGTGGACCAAAGCCACCTTCAGCCGTGTGGTTTCTTCAACATCAGGAGTTGCTGTAGGCTGACAAATGTCTGGCTCTCAGATATAAAAAGCCACATTGAGAAAGGAACTGTAAGTGGTAAAATTAATTTTGGTGTTTAGTTTACAACTACATTTATAGTTTTTCTCTTCTCTTTTGCAATGAATATCAATGGTTTGGGCTCCATTATGTACAGATCTTCCCTTTCTTTGCACACAGAGTGTGACCAGCAAGCAAGTCAACACCCAGGGAATCCAATCATATTAGTTTTCCATCCTGGAATATCTTTGTACAGCGTGACGTTCTCTCAATGTTCCCTCCTCTCCTAGGTGAAGAGGCGGCTACATACCTTTATTGAATTTTGCATTCCTTAGACTCTTAAAATGTATTAGTGTATTGTAGGCCTACTCCAAGGACCTGTGATACTGAAGGAATCCTGCATTTCTTTCATATTCCCTATTTCTTAGAGCCATAATTATTTTAATACACAGATGATTTTCAAAATATTTAACAACTGGTATAGGATGGACACCACCCACTCAGAACGGATGCCTGCTGTAAACAAGCCGCAGTCTGTTCTGCCGCTGAACTTCACGCTGCTTTCAGACGTTCAGCACCGTCCCTTTGCGTCGTGGGTGTCGGTTCTGGTTTTTCTGGTGGTCTCCTTGCAAGGCTGGTTTAGGAGCAGGAATTCTCTCAACTACATGGGCATTAAAATCTTTGTGAGCTGAAGCTTCACATTTTGTCATTGTAGGGTAGATGTAATAATTGTACCCATTTACCTACCTAATCTGGAAGAATCTAAAGGCAGCCTGTCAATGGAAAAAGCTTTCCTGCCAGCTTTCTCTGCTCCTCTACCAGGCACTCCTTGAGCTCGAGGCCTTTCTTACGTCTGTTTCCTGAGAATGCCCCTGCGCTCTCCCTGGGTCCTGCCCCTCCCATCTTCTCCTGCCACCTCAGTGTAGGGCAGCTGGTGACTGCGTCACCCGTTCCCCTAGCCTCAGTGTGGCTGTAAGGAATGTAAGAGGCAAAAGCCCTTTACGCAACAAGACTAGGTGACAATATCACTCAGAAAAATCTCTCTCCTGATGCACTGACGTCTGGCGTCTGCTAGGCTTCTCAGGGCGGGGAGCCTGCCTGGTGAACTCCATGCAGAGCAGCTGCAGGGCCGCGTGTGCACTTGCGAGTCCTTCCGAGTCCAGCCTCCCAGGCTGCTGCGCCTCAGGAACTCAGGAACGTTAGTTAGCTGCTCCAGAAGGGCATGCCGATATCTTTAGGCCATTAGATTTTTCTCCGACAATGGCCAGGCTCATTCCTGCTTCATCTCAGTGGTGGGAATCAGTCCCTAGTCTTACTCTCTCTCATGCCCCAGCTCCCACCCAACACTTCATCTCAGGCCTGGCTGCTTCCTTGCTCAGGTCTGTGGCCAGTGAGCGTGGTGGCGGGGCCAGGCTGGGCCATGTTTGGGTTAGGAGGCGGTGAGTGGGGGTGGAGCTTCAGCAGTGTGTATGTGTGTATGTATGTGTGCGCATATGCGTGTGTGTTTGTCAACTGAACTTTCATCGTTGCTATTAAACAGCCTGTGCACCTGAGCTGTGGGGACATCAAACTAATATCATCACCCCACCCCCCCCCCACCCATCCAGGAGTTCCCCTCTTAGACTTCTCCAAAAGAATAGCTCAAGGACAAGTGTAGGCTGATGAGTCTATCAAAAAAGGCGTTTAAGCCAACAATAAGGAGAAACTGACTGAGGGGTAGAAAGCAAGGCAGGTAGTGAGGTGCTTTCAGTGCCCAGGTTTGGCTGGGCCAGAGAAGCAGTCAGCCTCTTTTAGGGCCCGGGCATGTTTTGGGTGCGGCTGGGTGCCGGTGGGCCAGTGCCCTGAGGAGCTGGTCGTGCGGAGGCCAGGGATCTAAGAAAGCGATGATGAGTGTGATCTTGGTTCAAAGGCCAAAGGACGGGCATTGCTAGGAGTGTGGGTTGCTTCCTAGCCTGCGACTTTTAGGGAGGGTCTAGAGAGGTGAAGGCCAGCAGAAATATGCTGTGAAATTGCCAGATATGTTTGATTGCATAAAATACAGGCTAGGTCTTTGTGGCTATCTATGATTTCAGACTTCTGATGATGGAATAATCGGGAAGTCTGGTCTTTACCACGTACAGCTCCTTTCCCTGTCTCCATGTCCGTATAAATTTGCCTTTAGGGTGGAGGGGTAGTTAGTGAACCAAAAGACAATGTGAACGTTTGCTATTTCTCTTCATCTGGGATGTCACTGGCTTTTACGTTAGTCACAAATGTTTGATAAAAATATGGCATATGCTTTGTCTCAGGCTTGGTTGATATCTCAGGCTCTGACCACTGTGACTTTCAAGAGGCCTCTGATCTAGGAAGCTGTGGTTTCTGGTCATTCAGAACAGACAGTTCCCGGTTCTGCTTTATTTGCTACCTGCTCAACAACCCAGACTGTCAGCAGTTCTCCCTGCATCTTCTCCATCGGTTTCAGTGTCCATGTTCCAAGTCTCCACCTTTCCCTGGAGCATAGGAGGATTGGCCCAAGTCCCCTGGCTTTCCTTTTAACTAGCATGAGAACCACTACCCAGTGTGTTCTCTCTGCTACTTCATCAACTTGTCTAAATTTCTTCTTTTGCAAGAGAATTAGCACCTTCTCCTAGGGTAACTGAACATAAAGTGGAGGTCCAGCTGCTTGCCACCATAAAGACCAAACTAATGGGGCAGATGCTGGTGCAAAAGAAAAGAGGTTTTATTCAGGTGCTGCGTGGTCTGGGAGAATGGTGGACTCCCATCTCAAAGTCCATCTCCTCTTTCCGCTATGGAAAAAGACTAATGGTCGTCAGCAAGACCAAGACAAAAGCCAGTGCCCAGAGTTCCTGCTCCATTTAAAGCACAGTCCCTTGGAGCCCACAAGTAGGTGGCTGCTAAGTGGTCTTAGTCCCATCCAGGTAGCTTAGCTTGTTCCCGGCTGCTTTTTATTTCAGGCTCCCTCTTAGACCTTGCGTGTAGAGCCCACACGGCCCTCTGCCAGGGCACATGGTTGCATGCTCCAGGTGAGAGAGTTGTGCAAGTGCATGCACTAGTGCATCACCAGGCAGGCAAGATAGAGAGAGGCTCCCTCCCTCCCTCCACATGGCCCATGGAGAGAACAGGCCAGTGCACAGTGCGAGTCCAGGCCACGAGCCCAGGAGTCTCTTTGTTCCCCTGGGATTATATTGGCTTGGGTATGGTATGGACCAGGTGCTTTCTCAAAATGACCAATCAACTTCCAACACTCTCATGCACTTTGGATGGGTCCATCTCCCAACCAATCCCTTCCTTCCCCAGGCTAGACTGGCAGGACTCTTTGGTCCAGCACCGCCCCTGTGCCATTTTGACTTCTATAGCACACATGTCTGCTCTCCCCTTGTCCCACCCCAATCTGGTATAGGGCAGGGGAAGGATTTTTCTCTATTCAGTTATCTTGCTAGTTTTTTTGCATTTTGGCCCTATCAATTGATATTTCTAGCTTTCCGCATCCTCAGTGTAAGAACCGCCCCTATCACCACCTTGGCCAGTGGGGGAGAGAGATTCTCCAGAGCTCTGGACCAACTGTCTACTAGTAACACTGGGATTTTAAACAGTGTCTGCTAGTTTGTTACTGCAATTCCCTGGGACTTATCACGTTTCCAAATCACACCTTGGCAAGACAGACAGGAGCCCTGTATTGAATGTTCTCAGCCTTCTCGACTTTCTTTTGGTTGTAGCTGTCTGGCCTCCCCTAAGGGAGAAGGCCTTCCTGTAGGCCCTAGCTGGCCACAAAAGACACCATCCAAGACCCACCCCTTTTACTAACTCAGCCTTTCAAGCACTCTTTCCTCTTCTTCCTGCCTTTTTTCTCAGCGTTTTAAATTCTTGGGTAGAAGTTCTTGATCAGAGGTTCTAAAAAACACCACCAGTTTTGTGGACAGTGAGAGAAGTGAGGAGGTTGAATAGTTCTGGGGCTTCTCGCAAAAGGGACATTATTGTTATTTTTCTTATTTGGGATGAGGGTCTATGGATTCTCAAGCCCTCAGGCTTGTCCATGTTTCAGTATAAACAGAAAAACACATTCTAAGACCAAATACAAGTGATTTTTTTCTACCAAATCTATTTTTTATGATTCTTGGCACCCTAGTCTCTTACATTGATTATAGAGAATAGGCAGTTGACTCCGTTAACATTTCTTTACCAGAAAGGAGGCTAATTTTCGTAACCAAAAGAGGCGTGGAGGAGCTGGGTCCATCACCCTTCGAGTGTGGACCGAGGGAAGGTGTGCTGTGCTGTGTGGGTCGTTTCCACAGAAAACCCCGGGCAGTGGAGCGGTTTGTCCACAGGCGCAGTCCTGTTAGGAGGCTGTGCGGCGGGGGAATGGAGTGGTTCCTAACCCTTCTGAAGAGGAGAGGAATGACATTTTTCTTCAGCTGAGCCCACTTTCAGCACTGACGAACACAGAACCTTTTCTTCTGGCTGATGGCATTAGTACTGCCAGAGAGAGAGAGAACCCGCGCACAGCACTTTCTGCGCCCGCCGTCAGCCGAGCCGGGCCTCTCTGCGCAGGTTTGCAGTGGGCCCGCCGTGCAGGTTGTCACACGTGCGGGCTTGTCGGAAGCAGGAGCACCGAACTGAATGTGCAATCACTACTTTTTGCAAAAGAGGCCAAAATCCTCCTCCCTGCTCCTTTCTCCCTCATTCACTCCTCCGAGATGATAAGCCTCCCTCTTGTTTACCTGCATTTTTCTGTCTGATCGGTTGGATTGGCTGCCTTCCCACACTCAGCGGGTGGCGAGGGCAGAGCAGCCTTCCCGCGGGAGGGGACAACTTGAGGTGCTGGTGCATTGCCCTTGTTTTCTAAGTTCTTCTTTCTAGTATGTTTCATGTAGAGATAGAGATATTTTTGTTTTAGAGATTCCAAAGTATATATTTTTAGTGTAAGAAATGGACCCTCCCCACACTCCATGGTGTAAATAGACCCAAGAACAGTGTCGTCGTGAAAACCCACAGCAATCTGCAGTAGGAATAGGACCCCTCGCCCTCACCGCCTAGCCTCTGGCCTGTTTGTGGACCGGGGGGGGGGGGGGGCGCGTGGCGGCTGTGGCCCCTCTGTCTGCCCAGACCTTCCTGTGCTCAATGGGTGAGAAATAAAGTCTGTGTAAACTGCTCGCACCTGTGGCGTTCTTTGAGCTCGAACTGAGGGGCTGAGACAATGGTGACCAACTTCAGAACTTGTAAGGGAGAGGAAGCAATGGGTGAGGGGGAAGTGTGGTGGTGTCTGCTCGGTGTGCCTTGAGAGCGGCGTGCACAACTCCTTGGGGCCGACACTTGGGTCCTTGGGGCAGAGCCTTAGAAGGAGGCTATAGGGGCCCTGACCTTGTGGACCCCGTAGACTTATTGGGGGACAGAACAGCAGAGAGCTCCTTTTGGAGATGCTACCAGACTAATGACAGTAATTGCTAATATTTAAGGACTCTCCACTGATTAGAAATTCAGATTTTTAAAATATGCTGTCACTCCATGCCCTGATTGGTGTGGCTCAGTGGGCTGGGCATCATCCTGCAAACCGAAAAGTCACCAGTTCAACTCCCAGTCAGGGGACATGCCGGTTGGGGGTGTGCGAGAGGCAACTTGATCCATGTTTCTCTTGAACATCGATGTTTCTCTCCTTCCCTTCCCCTCTCTCTAAAAATAAATAAAATCTTTAAAAATATATTGATAACTCTGGGGTTTTGGGGCCCCCTCCTCATATTTATTGATTTTAGAGAGAGGGGAAGGGAGGGAAAGACAGAGGGAGAAACACTGGTATGAGAGACATCAATTGGTTGCCTCTCGTATGTGCCCCATCCGGGGATCAAACCTGCAACCGGGTATGTGCCCTGACTATGAATTGAACCTGTGACCTTTATGGTTCATAGAGCGATACTCCAGCCAAGCCACGTGGCCAGGACTTCCCTCCCTTTTAAGGAGGAAAATCTTTCCAAGAGGTTTGCTCCTTCCCACATCATTGGTCAGAACTGGCCACATGCCACATGCCCGTCTCTTAGACGTGAAGGGCGGGGCGGGGGGGGTGTAGGGGGGGTCTTTGTGGGACCTGGAGCGATTAGGCTCCATCCTCCGGGGGTGGGCTCGTCTTCCACGACCACATTGCTACTCCAATACTTGTACAAAATTAGGATTCTGTCAGCAAGGGATGAGGCAGGAGCTGTAAGTAATTAAATGTCCAAATGTGTTTGACACAGAACCCAGGAGAAACTGAACCTCAGGAAGCCAGGGAACTTCGCTGAGGTCAGTGGTTCTCCCCTTCTCTATGTGATCTTCGCTTCAGGAGATCCTTAACCTGCTAGTGTCTGGCTCCCGCTCTACACCAACTAAATAGAGTCTCTGGGGAAAACGCAGGCCCTGGTGTTCGTTAAACTCTCTCCAGGTGATTGTCACATGCAGGCAGGGTGGCCCGGCACCCACTATGGTGCTTCACCTTTGCCTGAAGTGGCTCTTCTGTGCTGCTTCACTTGCAACCCACTTATTCTCCCCTCTGCGGCATAAACGTTCCTCCACGTTGTAAATGGCTCCTGTGGCGCTGTGGTGTGATGGAGAAGGGCTCTCAGCCAGCGGCAGGCGACGCAGAACAGGTAAGCAAGGAGCAAGCCTGCCTGAGTTCAAGTTCCCAGCTCTGCCTTAACACTGTGCGACCTTGGGCAACCTGCTTCCTCTGTGCCTTGGTTTGTTCACTGCACAAAGGGAGTGATAATGCCACTGACCTCTAGTGGGATGGGGGAGACAATGGGTTAAGCCTGATAAGGCCGGCTCTGCTGAGTGCCCTCTGGGCCCCCTGTAGTAGCAGGTCCTCCCTTCCCTCACCCTCACGTCCTCGATTTGCAGCTGTGCGGCAGAGTCAAGGGGAAAGGAGTCACAGTCACAGTAATGGCTGTCCGTGTGGCCTACAGTGCTAACTCGGGAACAGAGAGGCCTTGCTTGGGCTGCCTGGCCTGGGCCATGTTCTGCTGACCAACATTCCAGCCGAGCCTTCCTTTGGGGTTATGGGCTATGAGGTGCTTGCCCAGGGCAAAATCCTCTGTCCTTGTTCAGCTGCTGATCTTTGAGTGTGCTCCCCCTAGGTCCAGAGGGCACGGGTGGGTGACTAGATTTCCAAGACCCAACAGGGTAATGGCACCTCTACTATTACCATAGTGCCCAAGGTCCTGCCCCTTCTCAGAAATTACACCATGGATTATCATCACCTGGTTTCCCTAACACACCGTCAATAAAGAGAAAATGCCTTGACTAACCAGGCAAAATAGTATGACAGGTTTTCCAGTAACTGAGCCATGTGACTCTAGGACCAAGTTCGGTCATCAGGGCTTCCACACCCTTTTTTAACAGTTGCGTCCTCACTAGCACTACCTTCCAAGGCCCTTCTTGGGTGTCTCACAGCCCACCACGCAGGGCGGATGCACCTCATCGGAGAGTCCCTGCCGACTGGCAGCACCTGTGGGGTGTGTGTGTGTGTGTGTGTGTGATGTGCCTGCGAAGCACGTCACACGTACGTTGTCTAGTCCTCGCTATGCGTGGATGGGCGCTGTTGCTCCCAGAGATGAGGGAAACTGGCACGGAGGGGAGATGAGTTACTGAAACTCGCACAGCGGTGGCAGCAGAGCCCAGGATGGGCCTGGGATTGTGTTTGGACCCACGCTCTGCCGGCTCCTGCGTCCCTGACCATGGAGCCTGTGTCCAAAACACCCTGCTGTGTGCAGGAAAGCAAAAGGACACCCTGGAAAACAAAAGCACTGGAGAAAGATGAAATGGGAGACAAAGCAGTTAGAGCACTTGAAAACAGCAGGGTAAGCTGAGAGCACGAGTAAGAATTCAGTGTTCAGAAAGAATGCCTAGGAATTGGCAGGTATGCGACCATTTTTCTTCTCTTTTTTAATGAATGGTCCAGGGAGGTAGTGATTGCTCCCGAGCCATCCTGGAAAAGTTTTCTCGGGAAGAACTCGAGGACTCACTGTTAACGTGCGAAGAGCTCAAGCCCTGATCAAATAGTCAGGAACCTGAGTGAGTACTTGCCGGTGGCCAGAAGGTTCACTCACAATCCACTGCCTCCCTTTCCACGCCTTTGGCTCAGGGGAGCAGTGGTTTCCCTGCCCCTGACGGCACTGTCTGAGTGGTCTGCGGAGGCTGCTGGAAACACAGAGAAGCCCAAGGCATGCCCTAGGGGGGACACTTGAATAAAATGGGGAAGAGACTTAGGGAGTCCTGGCAGCTGTGTCTCTCGCATCATTGTCCTCCAAATTCATGGTTTGAGCACCCACCTGTGGAAGGATGTGGGGCAGGTCTCCGAGGACTTACCATCAGACTCATCCAAAATAGACAGCCTTTGCAAATCACAGAGGTGAGGACTGGGTCCTGCAGGATGTTTGGTGAGGGGGGCTCCTTTCAGAGCCTCACTCAGGTAGTCAGACCTCTCCAAGGCCAACGCCAGATTGGAGGAGGGAGAGCAGAGGGTGTGGACTGGGCCCCAGAGTCTGGAGCGCTGATGGGAGAAGTTCTGATGCTGGTGAATGTCACTGTTTGCTTGCAGCTGGGGATTTTGCATAAGGAAGCAATTGTACACAATTTGGAGGCAGAGGAAAGAAGACCTTAAAATGCCAGGATAAGCAGTAAGGGCTCTGCAAGCCACTATCAATAAGGAGATGTGTGCTAGTCAGTGTTTTGGGGGAATTCATCTTGCGACAGAAGACTTGGACGAGGGAGAAACCGAAGTGGGTGGAGTATGCACGAGGCGGTGAGAGCTCTGTGCATGGCCAGGGCAGGGGTGACAGGAAGGGCGGAGGAGGGGGACGAAAAAAGTGACTGGGCAAGGGGGAAGTGCCTGTGGGGTGAACATCACTCTAATGCCAGGCATCTGAGAGAAGAGCTGCCGTGCAAACAAAGTGTGGACCGGTTTTCAGGTACGTCCAGAGGATGTACGTAGGACCAGCGTGTCTTCTCAGGAGGCAGACCGGGCTTGTCTCAGGAACTCAGAGCCAAAACCGTCCAAGAATGGAGCTGGCTGCCGCCGAAGGCAGAGGATGCCCAGGGCTGGAAATGGCCGCTGGGGCGCAGGCCGGCCGTCTGCCGGGAAAGCTGCAGGGGTGGGCGGATGGATCCCAGGGCCGGTGACTCGGTGACAGGGGTAGGGAGGAGGGCGTGCAGACAGACAGCATCAGCTGCGATGGCGATGAGAGGTGGGAGGGTGGTGATGAGGAGTGGGCGGGGAGCAGATGTCTGAGTGGAGAGGAGGAGGGCGCACACGGTGCGGGGAGCAGTGAGTGGGAGAGGGTGTCTGCTTCCAGGGCCCAGAGCGGGTGAGGGCCCTAGCACTGAGCCCCCACTGCTCGGGGCGTGGTCTTCAGGTTACGTGGGTCCTAGGTTACGTGGATCTAGGTTAAAAAAAAACAGTTCCATAAAGGGCACGAGAGTAATTTTCCTGTCTGCTGTCCGCCACCTGCTATTATAGGACGCCCAGGCTCCCTTGAAAGCCCCCAGAGCCGACTCATGTCTGCTTATGACGACTTTCCATCTCAGGCCCCAGCTCCCTGTGCCCTGCCCACTGCTGAGCAAGACCCTGCCCCCGCTGCCCCCATCACTCACTAGAGACACGCTGTCCACTCTGTCCCGGGCCACACCCGGGGCACTGCTGGCACTGGCTCACTGGGGCCCTCCAGGAAGCAATGCCGAGCAGCTCGCTCGATTCAGGGGCGAGGAGCCTCTTCTCCCAGCACTGGCGCACCCTCTGCCGACGTCCCAAAGCTAAGTTGCCTTGTTTCCTCCCACAGGCCAAAGCAAGAGAGTTCCTTACGAGCTGGCAATTGCCTGGAAGGCACAGGTCTCACAAAGAAGGGGACTGAACAGGTTGGCCCCTACTACAGGTTCCCCACCTGGTCCAGTCGGCTGTGTCCAACACATCGACAACACATCGCGGTGCGTGACTCTGGCCACGCTGGCTCAGCTCTTCCTGTTCCCGAGGGTCACACGAGCACTCAGGGCTGAGTGACGTGGTTTGGCCACACCTGCACCGACTTCCTTAGCGATTCAACA